GCTCCTTGACTGCTCTCTCAGGGGACACCAGACATGTCTTGACCGGCTCAGCAGACAACTCTTGTCGGCTCTGGGACTGTGAGACAGGTAAACTTCAACGCACGAGGAAGAATATTCTGATTATGCAGGATGAAAAATGTAATGTTAGGAGGGAGGAGAATGGAGTTTCACTGCTTTCCCTTTGTGTACTGATGCAGAATTTGTATCTGGAAACTTGTGTCAAAATTACACCTGACACATTTCAGTCTGATCACAGGATTAAAAACCATTTCCAGGAGTCTCATAATTCATGAACCATAAATGAAGTCAAACAAGCTGGGGTTGCACAACATGCTCAGCCATTAAAAAGTTAATATTTTGGAAGTTGTGTGCATGCATCTCTTATGTCTGTAGCTGACTAGGTTATGTAAGTTGTGCGAAGACACTTTCCGTAGACCTGAAGCTTTAGAGACCCCTGGAGGAGATAATTCTGAGTTTGAGGGAGCAGTGGGTCCCTCCGGTTGAATTTACTGTCTGTGTTTCATCCCCTCTTTAGGAAAGCAACTTGCTTTAGTCAATACCAACTCCGCTGTGAGGACTTGTGGCTTTGACTTTGGAGGGAATATCATCATGTTTTCCACAGATAAGCAAATGGGCTACCAATGTTTTGTGAGCTTCTTCGACCTTCGAGACTCCAGCCAGCTTGGTGAGGCCTTCAGGTGTAGGCTAGACTCAAAGTTAAGGTGGGGAAATTGTCCTTCCTCAAAGTTGTTGTTTACCAACTTCGTTTGTACCTCGTTTCCTTTTATCTTCAGAGGACAATGAACCATACATGAAGATCCCCTGCAGCGAGTCCAAAATTACCAGTGCGGTTTGGGGTCCCCTTGGAGAATTCATCATTGTTGGGCATGAGAATGGGGAGTTGAACCAGTTCAGTGCAAAGGTTGGTATGGATTCATAAAGAGTATTTCTGTGCCATCCAGAAGACAACCAGCCTCAGCTGGGCAGATCCGAATTTGTCTATCATATTTTTGTCAGTGTGTTTAGAACAGTGGTTCTCAACCTTTTTAATGCCGCGACCCCAACCGGTCATAAGTCGAGGACTACTCAACTGGTGCAGCACCGTTTGCAGACTGGGACTTTTGGCGGGCTCAGCAGGGCAGAGAGTCTATTCTATTGGCTTTCAAAAGCCAATAGAATAAAAGGGAGGAGCACAGCTAAGGAAAAGGGGGAAAACATGGCGGACTGCGTTGTTTGGCGACCCCCGTGAAATGGTCGTTCGACCCCAAATGGAGTCCCGACCCACAGGTTGAGAACCACTGGTTTAGAAGGTTCCAGTTTACTTAACTCTAACATCAAATACAAAAAAAGTGGAACACCATGGTCACCCTACCCCAAAGCCTGGGAGGCCGATACATTTTTAACTTCTGGAACATCAACAGGGTCGTAGCCAAATGACTCCTTGTGGGGTATCATTCCAGAAGGCAGCCACCGCAACACAGGAAACATGCTCTTTGGGTCGCAATAGATGACATTCTTGGATCAAGGGGACCTAAAGTTCACCAACTCTTTCCAGTCTTAAGAGAGAGACAGAAACCGTAGCAGATAGGTGGTCTCTTGCTCTGTGCCATAAAAGGTGTTATAGGTGATGACTGTTTAACTCTGTTGTTGAAATTTATTGGTAACCGGTGCAACTTCTGCAGTCACGTGCGTATACGGAAACATTCCCATTACTTTTTGTGCCATAGTATTCTGGAGCAGCTTTGCCTTCTGGTAGTTTTTAAATAAACCACATTGCATAGTCTAATTACGAGGGATTCAAGGACTGAACCAAGACTTCTCAGTGCTTTATTATTGCCCTGCTTAATTTAGCATCAGGGTGGTGCTTTCATGGGACCTCAGACCATCCCTTTTGGAGCTTCTTGCTGACTGATAGTTATAAAAAGGACTGAAATAATGCAATCAACTACTTAATCTGTATATAACGTTATTATTGTATCATATTCATATATTCATACTTATTTTATATCCCACCTTTATTTTTATAAAAGGCGTTGAACATTTCTAATACCCCTTCCTCCTATTTTTCCCACAAAACCACCCTGTGAGACGGTTGGGCTGAGGGAGAGTGACTGGCCTGAAGTTACCCAGCCAGCTTTCATGGCTAAGGTGGGACTAGAACTCAACAATCTCTTGGTTTCTAGCCTGCTGCCTTAACCACTAGACTAGACCACAGGTCGGCAACTTTGGCGCTTTTATGACTCGTGGACTTCAACTCCCAGAATTCCAGAGCCAGCTTGGAGTAAAGTAGCACGGTCTTTCCTTCTCTCCTGTGCTCACTTTCTTCTCTTCCAGTCAGGAGAGGTCCTCATGAACATGAAAGAGCATACAAAACAGATCAATGACATCCAGACTTCCAGAGACATGACAATGTTTGTCACCGCCTCCAAGGATAACACTGCCAAGGTGAGTCTCTCCTGCTGCTGCTGCTGCTTGCTGGCAAAGGGCGGCGTCCTGTGACTGACCTGCATTTTTCAATTAACCCCAGGAAGAGAGGCTGTTTAGACAAGCTAGCTCTTCCTATCCCTTTTGCAAGTTTTGAGAGAATAACATTTTAACCTCAGTCAGATCATTATTTCCCTCTTTGGTGGTAATTTTCATTAATAGCTAACCTTCCTTTGCTGACACCGAAACTGAGCAAATCTGGCCCCAAGAGCTGTCCTTTTGTGACTCAAATTTCAGAGGGGTTATTTGGGCTCAGCTGGCCAATTGAGGATGGGCCTCTTGGCTGGAGACAACTTCTTAATCTTTCTCTAAAACCTTCATTGCCATACTGGCATTTTTTTTAATGTTCTTACTTTTTGGCATCCTTCCTACAAATTGTAAATATAAGCACCAGCACACAAATTAGTGGTCCCAGGAAGTTTTTCCAACTCTCACCAGAACTCAGCTTGGTTTTGTTTCTGTTTTTGATTTCCCCAGGCTTATTCTAGTTGCCCTACTCAGCTTCCAAGCACAGTTTTGTTGGAAGAATTGTTGTCCACAGGACTGGGAAGTGACTGCTGTGTTGCTTGGGACTGATGTTGTAATTGGCCTTTCCAGATGATACTTGGGAAGTCCCCCCCAAAGCCCTGATGGATCTATTTTTCTTGCAGCTCTTTGATTCCACAAATCTTGACCACCTAAAGACTTTCCGAACAGAACGGCCGGTGAACTCCGCAGCACTTTCCCCCATCTTTGATCACGTATGTTTTTCCTCATAATTTTTTTGTGACATCTCCCTAGGATGAGAGTTGTGTGGTTTGTGCAGGTCCTTTACAAAGGTAAAATTGTCTGTGAGATGAAAGTGTCTGTGTGTTAGCTTCTGGGTGCTTTGCTTCTCGACAGCTTCTGGGCCCTGCTTGATTGCTGTACAGGAAATGGGAAAATATTGAGAGATGAAGTGGCAGAGTTTTAAACTTGGCACACGAGCAATGTTTTCTTAGCTAGAGGTCCCATATCTATACAGTTTGGGTTCTCCCAAATTTATTTATTTATTTATGAGACTTATATACCGCTTTAAGTGCAAGCACTCTCTAAGCGGTGTACACCAGTAAGCAATGTATATATATATATATTTACATTGCCCCCAACAATCTGGGTCCTCATTTTACCTACCCCGGAAAGATGGAAGGCTGAGTCAACCTTGAGCCGGTGAGATTTGAACCGCTGACCTGCTGAACACAGTCAGCTAAAGGGGCCTGCAGTACTGCACCCTAACTACTACGCCACCTCGGCTCAAATGGTCTAAAATTCAGAGTGTTTATTCCTTTCTTCAAGTTGGCATGGAATATCAAAACACGGTCAGTTTTCTTAGGAGTAGCCAAGTAGGACAACGAAATCTGAAGCCATGGCAGTAAACGGATCCGTTGATAAATCTGCTCCTAACCCAAGGAACGGGTCTCATCCTCTTATTTCAATTCTGGCAGGTGGTGTTGGGCGGTGGACAGGAAGCCATGGATGTGACAACCACCTCCACCAGAATTGGAAAGTTTGAGGCCAGGTGAGCTCGTTTAGTTCTGGTTATGAGCGATGTGGCAATGATTCACCCTCCTCTGTGGCGTTCCCAGGAAACCCAACTGCTTTCAAAAGACGTAAGGCCAAGCCCTCATGACCAACGTACACTGAAAAGCTGCCCAGCATTCCTTCCTAATGGTGGTTATCTCTTTGCATCTTACTTAACGGTTCTAGGTTTTTCCACCTGGGCGTTGAGGAAGAATTTGGAAGAGTCAAAGGCCATTTTGGGCCAATTAACAGCGTTGCTTTCCACCCTGATGGGAAGAGGTAAGAATCATAGGCTTCTGGCTCTTTGGTTTCGTCAAGACGAAGACCAAGAGCACCAGGAATTTCACTCCTTTTCTTCTGCTTCTAGTTACAGCAGTGGCGGAGAGGATGGCTACGTCCGCATCCATTACTTTGATCCCCAATACTTTGAATTTGAGTTTGAAGCTTGAGTGCTGCGTCCTTGTCCTCCGATGCCTCGTTGGTCTTTGCAGTTCCATCAGGATGGAGATCTTGCTTGTCTTGAGCAATGCTTAAGGGCAAGAAGCAAAGGGTGATCTGCTGGAGCTGCTGGTTCTCTGTGGGAGAATCTCTTTACTTGTACATTCTTGGAACAGCTCCAGTTGTCATATTTATAACATGAGACAGAGATAATAAATTCTTCCTTTACAAAAATGAAAAGAAATACATATGAATGTGTTAGCTAGGTACAAGTAGATTTACTATTACTGTTTCCATCATGTGTATGATTTGTTGGCTTCAGGATTCAGTGTTATATCATTAGGGGTTTTCATATTGACAGTTCTGTTAAGTAAAGCCCAGGTTAGACATACTCCAGGTTTTACTATCTATTGTGAGGTTATTGGATCAGTTTATTGGAGTAGAGCAGCATTTTTCAACCTTAGCAACTTTAGATTGTGTAGACTTCAACGCCCAGAATTCCCCATCCAGCACTGGTTTAGGTTTGATTAATATTAATATTTTAAAAGTTTAGCCATGTCACCTTTATTGTCTAAATGTAGCTATTGGCTCCAAGTTGGGGTGGCTACATATGAGCATTCAGATGACTCGTTACCAGGAAGATTGATCTTGTGTTCTGGATTTCTTTGATCTAAAACGTGGATTTAAAGAGCTGTATTTTATTTGTAAAGTTAAAAAAATAGGTCTGGGAAATACATCCACATGTTCACAGAGTTCTCTGTGCCACAGATGAAGAGCTCATTTCTCTCCTTGGTGGCTCTGTGTCAGCACCCTCACTCTGTTTTCAGCTCTCCTCTTTTGGGGTGACATTTATCAGCTAATTCTTTGATTCCTTCATCTAAAAAGGGGTGTTGCAGTCTACTTTCACATTGCTCTGTGCAACTGTTGTGAGTAGGTTTGGCTATTTGTTGCTATTTGCTGAATTTCTGCCCAAGCTTCATCAAGATGGTGGGACGAACGGACCCAGTGGAGAAATAAACCTGCATGGAGAATAATGGCCAGTTATCCGTCTCCTTCACGAGGACAAACAGTCATCTTTTATATCTTTGCAGCAACTCTTTATAAAGAACATTAGCCAATAGACTCACTTAGCTTCCAACCCCAACATCTGGGGGGACAGCTACGTCTTTCATAATAACCCCAGAAAAACCGGGGCTGCTAATGGAACAGATACATCCTGTTTTTACATTTAAGGTGCTCAGAGTATTTAGATATCCTTCCAATCTGCAAGTTTGCAAATATATTTAGCAGTAGATTGAAATTCTCACTCTCAAATCTGGATCTAGAGAACTTTAAATAGGACTCCTCTGAAGATCCAGGATTCAGAAAAATTGTTTGGGTTTGTTTCTTACATCTATATCTTAAAAACACATAAAGGAAATGAGCAGCAAAGCGGATAGGTGGGCGAGGTTTTCGTTTCTATTCATCAGATGTGATTTGGAAATTTGCCGATATTCAGACAGCGGAAATTTTTGAAACAGTTAGGTTCTAGTAAGGCTGTATTACAGGTAGTCCTTGACTTATACCCATTCATTTAGTGACATTTGAAGTTATGAAGGTGTTGGAAAAAGTTACGACTGGTTTTTGCACTGAGGAATATTGTGACACTGCAGTCACATAAGCACAATTTGGTTTTGTATTCCTGCAATCGCATAATCGTGATTTGGGTGCTTGGCAACTGGCATATATTTACGATAGCGGCAGTGTTCTGGGATCATGTAATCACCACCTGTGACCTTCCCAGACAGCTTCTGACTAGCAGAGTTAGTGGGGGAGCCAGCAGGGAAGGCCACAAATTGTGATCACACGATGTCTTGCTTAATAACAAATGTTCTGATCCCTACGAACACAGGGATCCCTGTACAAAACTCTGCAGTGTGTATGTGCAGATCTCTTCCAGCCCTCCTAAGTGATTGCTATATCATTGAATTGTATCAACCCAAGCAAAGCATAACGAAGATTCTTAGTCATCCGGGTAAAGGTAAGACTTATTTTCTTGTTGGTTTGAGATGTTTCGCTGCTTAAGTGCCAACAATGCTCTGACTGAGGAAGCTGTTTGGATGGACAGCGAAATATTTCAAACCAACAAGAAAATAAGTCCTGTTGCCGTGACTCAACTTCCAGACTTATCACCAAGGTTGGCCTATGAAACTCTGAAATCTGGAAGGCTTAATTTCAACCAAATTACAGTTGCTGGCACGTGAGCACTTTGTTCGAAAATGTGAGTTTGTACTTTACATGATAAAAGGCATTTACCTTGCCAGAGCACCACGCTCTGTGGCTCCACGGAGGGCCAGATGACCAGGGGGTTGTACAGGTAAAGGGGATTCAGGTACTTCTCCACACGGTTTATCCAGGGCCAGAGGCAGTGGGTCTTCCCCCTCACATCACACAACCTCCTGCAGGGAAGTCAGTAGTATTTTAGTCCCTCCTTGGGTGGGTCTGGAGCGCTGTTTCTCAGCCTGGGCAACTTGAAGATGTGTGCACTTCAGTTCCCAGAAGTCCCTAGCCAGCTTTCTGATCACCACATCCAACCAGGAGCCCGCCATATTTGGGAAGGAATACAACATTAATCTGATAACAGGGAACAGATGCTCCACAAAAATTGCAATGGGATGTTTGGGGAAGACTTGACAGAAGCAAGCGCAATCTAACATTTTTAGACTCTGTTTCTTTCTTGTAGCTTTGAGGTGTCCCTCCCCTCTTGAGGGCACAATTTGATTCAAACTGGGCTTGTTGGAGACGTAAAAGTAATTAGTAATAGTAGTAAAGTTGGAAGGGACCTTGGAGGTCATCTAGTCCAACCCCCTGCTCGGGCAGGAAACCCTACACCATTTCGGACAAATGGCTGTCCAGTATCTTCTTAAAAACTTCCAGTGTTGGAGCATTTACTGCTTCTGGAGGCAAGCTGTTCCACTGATTAATTGTTCTCACTGTCAGGAAGTTTCTCCTTAGTTCTAGGTTGCTTCTCTCTTTGATTAGTTTCCACCCGTTGCTTCTTGTCCTGCCTTCAGGTGCTTGGAAAATAGCTTAATTCCCTCTTCTTTATGGCAGCCCCTGAGATATTGGAATACTGCTATCATGTCCCCCCTTGTCCTCTCTTCGTTAAACTAGACATACCCAATTCTAGCAACCGTTCCTTATATGTTTTAGCCTCCAGTCCCCTAATCATCTTTGTTGCTCTTCTCTGTACTCTTTCTAGTGTCTCAGCATCTTTTTTACATCGTGGTGACCAAAACTGGATGCAGTATTCCAAGTGTGGCCTTACCAAGGCATTGTAGAGTGGTATTAATACTTCAGTGATCTTGATTCTATCCCTCTGTTAATGCAGCCTAGCACTGTGTTGGCCTTTTTGGCAGCTGCAGCACACTGCTGGCTCATATTTAAGTGATTGTCTACTAGGACTCCGAGGTCCCTCTCACAGTTACTACTATTGAGCATGGTGCATGAAAGAATTCTAGGTACTCGTCAACTTTCAGCCATTTGTTTAGCAACCCTTCAACGCTACAACAGCACTCATAAAAGTAGTTAGAACCAGCCCTCCTGCTTTTATGACCCTTGCATATTCTCCCTGGTCCTGTGGATCAAAATCCAGGCACTTGGCAACTGGCATGTATTTATGATACTTGCAGTTTCCTGGGTTCATGTGATTGCCATTTGTGACTTTCCCAGCCTCTTCTGACAAGTAAAATCAGAAATGGGGAAATCAGATTCGTTTGACAACCCCACGATTCACTCAATAACCACAATGATTCAGTTGTGGCAGAAAAGATTGTAAAAAATGGGTGTGACTCGCTTAACAATCAGCTTGCTTAGCCAGAGAAATTCTGGTTCAAATTATCATCCTAAGTGGAGGACTCCCTCAACTGGCTCAGATCAATAAACCAGAATTTGACATACTGCTTTTTTATGAACAGAGCTCCAAGCTACAAGGAAGACTGGCTAAACTGGATTTGTTCTTATTTAATGCTATGTCTGGGACTGGAGCAACAAGCAAGGAGCTTGGGTAGGGATGTCCGCAACGTCTTGTGGAAAAAGTCAATAGGGTGGCTCTAAAGGTCTGATGGAAGCTCCAACTGCAGTACACGTATGATGTACACAAATACGTGAACTTTGATCTCACTGATGTGACTGCCGTCTTGACCACACACTGCAGACTCCTGTGGATCCTGGTTCTGTGGAAAACCCCCCCCCCCACCTGAGTGTTTTATCATGGTTGGTTCAGCCATTTCTGTGAGAGAAGCGATGAGAATCACCAGCTGGGACGCTCTGAAATCTTGGTGTACTCTTCACTGCGAAAATGGCTGCTGTGAGGTTTCCTTGCAAGCGAAACCATTCCACTTCCCCAGTTGATTTTCTCCCTGAGGACATCACATCCTGGTGTTAAAATCCTCTGTGTCTCATTTCTTGAAAGTGCAGGGAGAGTTCTAGCAGTGGGAAGTTACTTAGGGTACCTGTTGTGATTTCTGAGATTTCAGATTTCTTCCCCCGAGCTATTTGAAGAGGCCAAATGAAGGGCAAGGCCATCCCTTGAGGTCTTTCAAGGCTGGAGGCAGAAAATTCCCAGCCCTCGGTGGGAGTCTTTGAATAATCTTAGTGTACCCTGCTCTCCTAGGCTGCTGGCACCCTCAACCCTGCTCTGCCCCTCCGTGGCCTGCTCTTGCATTACCTTTCCTTCTCGTTGTTGCCCAAGAATGTGCCATAGGGAGAGGCGTAGCAATGCTCAAAGAGTGCCAGCAGGAGATGCTCATTGAACGCCAGCGAGAAGGGGAACTGGCGCCCCAGTTGCCAGACGCAGTCGAGGAAGAGGAGAAAAGTAGGTGCCTCCTGCTTGAGCCGGGCGTGCGCATAGGCAGAGTGGGCGCAGCGGAGCTGGAAGGGGTGTCCTGCCTGGAAAAGCAAAAAGGTTGGCAGCTAGAAGCGAAAAGGAGCTTTCTGCTTCTTCCCTGTCCAGAGAGAGGGAAGGGCAGGAGACAATGCTTTCAACAAGAATCAAAGCTCAACAAAGTCAATCAAAGAACCCCATAAATATTAGTAAGAATTAAACTGTTCCTCCTTGTGATCAAAGGTACACCTGTGTCATATCAGCCTGTTTTTCTGTGTAGGATGAGAGGCGGAGTCCGAGCTGCTGCAGAAGTTTCTAAATTACAAGTTCTTTGTGGCAGCCCCTGAGATATTGGAAGGCTGCTATCATGTCCCCCCTCGTCCTTCTCTTCGTGAAACTAGACATACCCAATTCCAGCAGCCTTTCCTTATATGCTTTAGCCTCCAGTCCTCTAATCATCTTTGTTGCTCTTCTCTGTACTCTTTCTAGAGTCTCAACATCTTTTTTACATCGTGGTGACCAAAACTGGATGCAGGATTCCAAGTGTGGCCTTACCAAGGCCTTGTAAAGTGGTATTAACACTTCACGTGATCTTGATTCTATCCTTCTGTTAATGCAGCCCAGCACTGTGTTGGCCTTTTTGGCAGCTGCAGCACACATCAGACTAGAATCTGATGAATAATGTATAACAAAAATAACCCATGCCTGTGCTTAGAACGAATTATAATCACTTCCAATTTTGAAATTCTATCTGTATCACTGCTAGGAACTATTGAGATAAAAAAGAACAAGGTACACTTTCTTGTTTTCCAGCTAGGGCAATTTTAAGAAGTGTGACCTCATTTCCCAGAATTCCCCAGCCAGCGTGCCAATCCCCTTTGAACTGCCTCCTGCTAGTACCTGTATCCATTCCCGCTCCAGCAGTCCCTGGAAGCCGGCCAACGTCCTGCAGGCTGGATCCAGGATAACTTGGGCAAGAGCCGTCACCAGCAAGGTGGCGTCCTTCCCTTCGGCTCCGTGCACCAGGACACAAGCCTCCTCTCTGGAGCAAGACACAAAGTTTCTGGTTACACGATCTCCTCCCTGGCATTAGCCCATCCCGAAAGGTTGGGGTGCAGAGGGGACGTGTCCCAACAGCGTCTCCTGGGGGCTCGTCTCCAGACCCTTTCCGGGGGAAAGACCAAATGCAATGCTACCTTTCCAGGCACTGGGCTGCCAGGCAGGCAGCATTCAAGGCTTCCTTGACGTGGGACAACCACTTGGAGGCTTCCAGCCTGCTCAGCCAGCGGTCCATGTGAGGAGAAGGGTCATTGCAGGCTTCCACCAGCTTGATGAAGCTTTCCTGGAGGGAGCGACCCCTGAGAGGTGGGGAGGGAGGAGGAGGAGAAGAGAGGATTGACTTGGTCGGAGAGTCCTGCAGCTCATAGTCAGGGGCCTCTCCTGTGGACCAGGCCTCTCTGGCTGGAGAAAATGAGTTACAGTTAATAGGGGAGGCTGGTTTAAACTTTCACATCTGCCCGTCTTTCTCGATAGAAAAATTAATATGTAGGTCTTTGGTTATTCGGGTTTTTTCCCGCGTAAAATTGGAAGTGTCTTGGCGACGTTTCGACGAAGTCCCATTCGTCATCTTCAGGCTGGTGTTTTCAGCTTCGTGCTTTGTGAAGCCAATAGGAATTGTCCAGGCTGTCTCTGCCCTGCTGAGCCCGCCAAAAGTCCCAGTCTGCAAACGGTGCTGCACCAGTTGAGTAGTCCTCAACTTACGACCGGTTGGGGGTCGCAGCATTAAAAAGGTTGAGAACCACTGAGATAGAGGGACTTACCTCTCTAGAGCTCGGTGCAGCCTCTTCCAGCCACGGTAGCAGCTTCGGTGCTCCAGGCCGCCCCCCATCACCCGGGCCTGCTTTGCGGCCTGCAACGACCTGGTGTCCAGGATGAAGCCACGATCCCCGCCCTCTAGGATGGTGGTCAAGAGCTGCTCATCCTCATAGCAGCGTTTCCGGTTGGGCCCCACGAGAGGCTGGCTGCTGCGAAGCATCGCCTGCACGAGCAAAGGATGGAGATGGATGGAGGAGAGTAAAAGGGAGGGAGACTCCTGGGAGGGGTGCACATGGATCAATTTGGGGTTCTCCCAATGTCACCTTGTGGCCATTGGTCAAGTACATCTCCTTAAGCTCAATCTTTTTTTGGAAAGCTCATCCTGAAATGGAACGTATTTTGGGATATGCTTTCCTTAACATAAGAATTTTTGTTTATGTTTGACGCCCAGTTTTTGCAAGCCTTTTATTTTTTTCTATTGTAGAGCATTTCATACAGCTTTTGGTTTTTTAAAGCTGACTTTCCATGATGATATATTTCCTAAAATGACAATATTGCTGACTAAAGTTAGAGAACTATGAATTTTGAATAGGGGCTAAGTTTCTGCCTATTGGTCTGAAAAAGCGAAATTCTGAAAGTTCCCCTTGTGGGGCAAACGAAAGACATTTTTACATTCTTGTTGTACTGATTAATGACAGTGGTAAAGTCATTTCTTTCTGAATTCTCAGTTCCTAAGTAGTGCTTGGTTCTGTTTTTACCCGCTGTCTATTTGGTGATGCTCAAATTCCTTTTGATGGAGCTAGTGAAGATGAAAAGGGGTCTGGAGGTTAAACCACACCTTGAGCGGTTAAGGGAGCTAGGTATGTCTAGCCCAGGGGTAGGCAACCTTGGCTCTTTTATGACTCGTGGACTTCAACTCCCAGAATTCCTGAGCCAGCATAGCGTAGCTGGCTCAGGAATTCTGGAAGTTGAAGTCCACGAGTCATAAAAGAGCTAAGGTTGCCTACCCCTGGGCTAGCCTGTCAAAGAGAAGGCTTAGGGATGATACGATAGCAGTCTTCCAGTACTTGAAAAGCTGTCACAGAGGAGAGAGGGTTGACCTATTCTCCAAAGGGCATCAGAGGGCAGGAGAAGAAGTAACAGGTGGAAGATCATCAAAGAGAAATCCAACCTAGAACTAAGGAGAAATTTCCTGACTGAGAACTATTAATCAGTGGGACAACTTCCATCCAGAAATTATGGGTGCTCCATCACGGGACGTTTTCAAGAAGAGACTGGACAGCCATTTGTCTAGAATGGTATAGGGTCTCCTGCTTGGACTAGAAGACCCTCAAGGTTCCTTCCAACCCTTTTATCCTATTTCTATGAAACGATTCTGTACAGATTGGTGAAGTGACACGGGCCTGTTTAGAGTATGCCAAAGCTGGCTGGTTCAGTTCCCAGCATCTCCTGGCACAGATGAGGAAGGTGGCCATTGGAGGGCATCTCTGTCTTCTCCTACCTCGTGCCCTCCTTGGAGGATATGAGTGTTGGCAGTTTCTAAGCATTGCAAATGCTCCAGGTTGGAGAAGATGGCTATTGCTAGTGTTTCTAAGCCTTGAAATCTTGAAGGTTTTGAGAATTCTGGGAGTTGAAATCCACACATCATCAAACTGCCAAGTTTAAGAAACACTGCAGTAGAGCAGTGCCCCCCCCCCAACTTTTTGGGCACCAGGGACCGGTTCTGTGGAGAGAGGTTTTTCTATGGACCGGAGGATGTGTGGTTTCATATGCTGCCTACATCCTGTGGGTGGGGCTTAACTTTTTTGCTGGCTTGCTGCGGCCAAGTGCCAGTTCCCGGGCCGGGGGTTGGGGACCTCTGCACTAGAGCAGCTATGGGGGTGAACAGCTATTTTATTTATTTATTTATTTATTTTATTTATTTACAAATATTTATATGCCGCCCAATCCCAAAGGACTCAGGGCGGCGTACAAAATTAAAAACAGTCGTAAAACAATAAAATAATCCAGTCATACCGCGAGTCCAATCATATCCCGGACCCCCGGGGACATCAGCCCCAGGCCTGCCGGAACAGGAGAGTTTTAAGCATGCAAACAGAATTTGTGGGGAAGAGAGAAAAAAGAGAGGGTTGGCAGTTGGACGGAATAAAAACAGGGAAATGGGAAGGAAAAAGCAAATATTGAACCACAGGGCTGGTTTATGAACAGAATAGAAAGGAGGTGGACCCACCGTCCCATTTTTTTTGTGATAGTAGCTGAGAACTGGGAATCGCCTCCCCTGACGGAACCGGGCGCTCTTCTGAAGGGCTCCATCATCCAGTCTCGCCGGTACGATCACAACTGGGGGATAACTGGGACAGACGCCAAAGTCTGCATTGATGGAACTCAGCCTCCAGGCCCCTGTCTGGAAGGGATGAAGAGTGAAGGTGTTTGAAGAGCCAGGTCAAGCTCTGGTGATGGTGAGGCTGTTTGCCTCCAATATACAGTCTTCTTGCTGAATGTCTATCCTGTCAGATGACATCTGTTGACCTGACTGCATTTCAATAGGCCCAAATCTGAGGAGGAAGCTGTTGGCTTGGTTATGGGATGGAGGGTGAAGGAGCCAGGTTGGTGCAAAGGATTGTTGATACCTATGGACAACACAGACACACCCACACGCAAAAACAGAGGGAAATAATTGCTTGACTTTAAAACCCAGCTCTGATATTGGAGAAAAAGTGGTGACCTGGAAAAATTGGGTGGGAGCAGGGATACAGTGTAGACTTTCGGCCAACTGACAGATGATGAGGATGACGTTTTGTCATACAGGTAGCCTTCAGGTTATGACCATAATGGAGCCTGCCCCATGTAACTCGTGATGGATATAAAGTGGGTCTGTCTGTCATGTGACAGACCCAATTTTATAACCTTCCTTATTAAGTGGATCTGTGATCATTAAGAGGATACTGTAGTCATTAAATGAACCAATGGTTCACTATGGGTGTGGTAAATACTGGTTTTCGGCAAAACCATCGTAAAACGTGGTCATGTGACTTCGGGACATTACAAATGGCCGTAACTTGTGGCCCGGTTGCTCAGTTCCTGAGGTATGGTCATGTCACCACAAGGAGGGGGGGCAACTGTCAGGACTTCAAATCCAGATCATAAGTAACCCCCCCCCCAGGTAAATCCATTGGAACGTCAAACAGTTGGGTAAGTGATCAGTTGTAAGTTGAGGTCTGCCTGCATTCTATGCTAAAAGACAAATATCTATTCAAGGTAACCCAATGGCAATATCTACAATTACAGCCTCATTTTCAACTTCTGATACAGCAGAGATAGTAGAACAACTTGTTAAGTCCTTTAATTTTTTTTAAAAAATAGTTTTAATAGATATTTATTATCAATAACATGCAATGCCCCTGACACCAGGCCACAAAATGCCCTGGTCCATCTGTCAGTTCTGCCAGCCCAGTAGCCCATGCTCAGAGAGGCACCTTTGCTTCTCATGAAGATCATCGGCCTCGCTACTCACGTCAGTTGCAATCTGCTCGTAATACTGCTCGGTAATGTGCGTCAGCCACCCAGTGCCCAGCGTTGTGTTTTGGGGTCTGTAGAAGAAGGGGTACGTCATCATCACCGATTCCAGAGAAGAAAGGGCCTGTGGAAACATGGTTGGTCCAGCATGGTGAGCAACAGGTACACGTGACGTTCTCCATCTGGAAGTGTCGCTTAGCCAAGCTGAAGCCATTTTAAGATGTGTGGACTTCAACTCTCCAAATAGCCCAGCCAGCATTGCTGCTCTTGATCCTTAAAGCCCAGACACACAGGAAGTCTGCAACTTACAGCCAGTCCTTTAGCAACTATTGAAAGTCACAACGGCACCTGCTCTGCAAGTCTTTGAACCAAGCAGATCTCAGCTTCTTCAAGCACCTTTTACCTGTGTGTGAGAAACTGGGGCTTCTGGGGCTCACCCTGCACAGGTGGGCCTGAAGCCAGTTTCATCCCCCATAGGGAACTGGGGGAAACAGCCCCAGCTAAGCCCCTGGTGAGAACTCAACGCAACAGCTGAGGCTGGGTTGGCCAAACTGCCAAGCACCACAAGGCTTCTGTGCCACCCATCGGCTGCTTACTTCTTTTTTAACCCTCCCTCTTCTTTCCTGCGCAAAATGAATCAACAGGAAATGGAGAGCATGGGGAGGGGGGAACTTCCCTGTTATGATTGAAAAGAAGGGGGTTGAACAGCAAGAGACAAGGCCTTGGGAAAATGTCTTCTTCTTCCTCATTCACTTCTCCTTTTCCTCCTTTATCCTTAAAGCTGCAACATTTGGAAGCATCTTGGCTGAGTTTGGGCATGAGCTTAACCAGGGGAAGGGGCTGCTGGGTACAGGATAGTTTTAATACCTGGTTATGACTGCTTCCCACAATTGCAGAACAGTATAGTAGAAAGAAAGAAAGAAAGAAAGAAAGAAAGAAAGAAAGAAAGAAAGAAAGAAAGAAAGAGAAAAAAGAAAGGAAGAAAAAGAAAGAAAGAAAAAGAAAGAAACGAGAAAGAAAGAAAAAAAGAAAAAGAAAGAAAAAGAAAAAGTAAGAGAAAAAAAGAAAAAGAAAGAAACGAGAAAGAAGAGAAAAAACAGAAAGAAGAAAGAAAAAGAAGAAAGAAAGAAAAAGAAAGAAAGAAAAAGAAAATGTATGTCAAGATACATCCTGGATGAAGCAGTACCTGAATTTGCACAACCTACAAGAACAGGCTAAAATCGGATTGGGGATTTTGTGGCTGAGGATAGTATAGGTGGGAACCAGGTGACCTTGGTCCTAAACCTCACCCTTCCATTAATCAGGACAGGCACTCGGCACATGTTTAGGGACTGTTCCTCTTCCAATGATCTGGCAGCAGCTGGGTTTTGCCAATATGAGGACAGGCTCACCTTACCTCAATGGAGCTGGCAATGTTCAGGCACTCTGCCATTCCAGGAATTTCCAACTGCAGAATTTTCAGGTCTTTGCATTTGAGAGTGATGGTGCCAGAGGCGTTGGCCAGCCTGTGGGAAGAGGGAGAAAACAGACCGTGTGAGCTGCCTTGCAGGAGGCCGCAGGCAACTTCCGGCAGTTTGCAAGCAGAAAGAACCTCATCTTTGTGGCAAGGGAGGAGCAGCACCAACGATGGAGACCTTGGCTTCCCAGCCCACCAGCCACAATCCGAAAGATGGTCTTGCAGATGAGCAGGAAGTGAGCAACTCATTAACGCAGAAAGAGAGAGAAGCAGAGGGCAGCAAAGCTATGATGGCCTCCCACAATACCGTGTGCATCATACAACTGACGCAACTGATGCTGGTTACATGACTCACTTCACTGCCAGTGCGCTTGCCCTCCCTGGTTCTCTTATTGCCTCCCTACAGGTAGTCCTAGACCAGGGGTAGGCAACCTTGGCTCTTTTATGACTCGTGGACTTCAACTCCCAGAATTCCTGAGCCAGCCAAGCTGGCTCAGGAATTCTGGGAGTTGAAGTCCACGAATCATAAAAGAGCCAAGGTTGCCTATCCCTACCCTAGACTTACAACCACGATTGGCACCAGAGGTTCTGCTGCTAAGCAAGGTGGTTGTTAAGCGAGCTGCGTCCAATTTTACAACTTTTTCGCTATGGTTGTTTAGCAAACCACTGCAGTTGTAAGAGAACCTGACTTCTCCCCACTGCTTGTCAGAAGCCAGCTGGGAAGTGTAGGGAGAATCTCAGTCATCCAGGTCATGGTTGTCCCAAAAGTGCAGGCAACTGGACTTCTTTGTTTTTCTTTGAAGACGTTTCGCTTCGGATGAGAAAGAAAAACAAAGTCCAATTGCCTCTTGAAAAAGCACCTTTGAGACAGCTGGGAAGGTTGCAAATGGAGATCACATGAACTCGGGATGCTGCAACTCTTGTAAATACATGCCAGCTGTCAATCACCTAAATTTGGGTTGTGTGACCAAGGGGACGCTGGGACGGCTGTAAGTGCGAAAACTGCTATTAATGTGGAATAATGAACAATCATTGGAATAATGATGTGTCTGCATAATTACTGGAATAGTGCTGTGTTAGTAGTATGTGACTAACCTAATGTGCATTGCACTTGGATACAATGTATGTAGCAAACTCTCCATTGTATACCTGTGAGAAACGAACCTAATGTATTACAATGTGTATTACTTTGTTCCTGAGGGGAAAATAAGGAAGGTATAAAACTGAAGTCTGAACTGGCCCTCGGGGTTCAGAATTGCTTGTTGCTATTGCTTCTGAACCTGCACAATAAATCCCTCTGCTAAAACCCTCTGGAATTCGTAAGAGTCCTTTCGTTTTCCACAAGACTATAAGTCACTTTTTTCAGTGTCCTTGTAACTTCAAATGGTCTTTAAATGAATGGTTGTTAAGTCAAGGACTACCTGTATTGCTGTGCATCCTTTTCCGGCCAGGTAAAATAAATCTGGAATAACCACCATGTTTGGTTCTTGCAAACTACTGTACAGGTCTTAAGGCCAGGCAACAATGGCGTTGAGAACTATGCAGAATTTCTGGCATCCATCTTGGGACAATGTCTGGTGAGCTTCTGATCTTCCATGGAGCAGCCTCCCCCTCGGGTGACATCCCTGCAAGGAGGAAGGGGTATTCAGACTTCCATATTTTCCAAGCTTTTAAGCCGGAGAGAAGTGTGAGGCAACGGAAGACCTAGTGTCCTTCACCCCACCTCAAACCTTCCTCAATCCATCCTAAATCTCACTACTATTTGAAATCTACAGATAGCCCTCAGTTTGCAACTGTTTACAACAATACTGAAAAAATAAGATTTGCAGCACGCGCATGGTCATGTGATCAAAATTTGGTCGTTTGGCAATCAGCATGTATTTAGAAGACAATATCTCAACTGCCTATGGCAGTGATGGCGAACCTTTTAGAGACCGAGTGCCCAAACTGCAACCCAAAACCCTCTTATGCGTTGTCGGGTGCCGGGTGGGTGTGGCCCATTGGGTGGGCGTGGCTGCAGTGGTAAATGGCAGACTGGGTGGGACTAAAAAGTTCAATCCATCAATTCCAACTTTGCAAGATCTTTTTTTCTCGTGAGTTGAAATTGACTGATTGATTGAACCTTTTATTTTTCTTTGCGCACGGCGGCGGAGGCCTAAAGCGAAAAGGTTTTATAAAACCCAGCTGAAGGCCCAGGACTGGGGCGATGGTGCATGTGCCCACAGAAAGGGCTCTGAGTGCCGCCTCTGGCACCCGTGCCATAGGTTCGCCACCATTGGCCTATGGAAAGGAGGTGCAAGGCCAAGAAGATAAGCACTCCGTGCATGCTTAAAAATATGCTGGCAGTTCATATAATAGCAAAATCCGGGCTACATCTGGCAAGAAGCTGGATTTCTGATTATGGTGCCTGTTGCCAGTTCTCCCTACTTCCCTTCATCAAGCTGACCTGGCCTCGCTTTCCAGCAGGTAGAAAAAGGACATCAGGATGGCTGAGAGGTCATTCTTCACCTGTCTGGGCAACACTGAAGCAAGACCTGGGAAGATGGGTTCCCCCTCCCCGGCTGTGCAGCTGTGGAAGCCGAAAGTCGATGACGCGCACCAGCCTGTCACCTCGCTTGCTTGCATGCCTTGCGGTGTGAAAAGGGTTAAGGCAAACCTGTTCTCTGTCAGGGAGCTGTTAGTCCAGGAGCTTTGATACCAGCTTAAATTCTGAATGCTGAGAGTCACAGGAAGGAAAGGAGAAAGGTTAGCATCGTGCCCGAAATGCAGAGGTTAATTGGCACTGACCCTGCTGCCAACTTCAGTGCCCTCCCTCTTCCAGCTCGCTCTTCACTCTGCCACTCGGGGGGACGTGGACCACCCCAATTTTGCCTTGGCCATGTTCTCCCAGGGCCCCCAGGAAGGTGTAAGATGCCTTGTTTCTTTTGGTCTCTTCTGCAGCCCCCCCCCCAATGAACATTCTGAGCAGGTGATGCTTCTTCCCAAGCGTTGCAGAAAAATGTCACCTCTTAAACCCAGGTTTGGCTGCCTTTTGAAGAGCTCAGGAGCAAAAGGGTGCAAGAAGGAGCTTCAGCAGAGAACAAAACTAACCCATCAGCAATGAGAGTAAGAAAAGCACATTGTTTCACTCCCACCACCCGATCCCCAGCCCAAGCCAGCCAATGCAGGATATTTGGCCTCCTTGCCTGATCGGAAGATCTTTGCTTCCGATCTCACCCTTCTTGAGTGTGAAGGAACTTGATAGAACCCTTGAAAGAACCCTCAAGAGTGTGTGAAAATATTGGGGTGGGCAAATCTCCTTCATTTGGGTCTGAAGAGTTCACCCATGTGGTCTAGATTGCAAATGAGAGAGTTTAAAACTGCAGTGGCAGATTAGTTCGGTTTCTTCTGCAGAGCAGCAAGCAAAGATTCTTTTAACTGCTCCAGATGAATCAGTGACGTTTGATAGTGCAGTTTAAGCTCTGTTAGGCTACAATTGCCCGGACCAGTATTTCTCAATCGTAGCAATTTAGAATCTATGGACGTCAACTCCAGAATTCCTCATGGTAGCTGGGGAATTCTGGGAGATGAAGTCCACAAACTGGAGTTGGGGTGGCGGAGAGGAACCCTGTCGGGAAGCCCAGCAATGCCAGGCAAAGCTATTCACCTTTTTTCAATAGCATCCACACTGCGAATAAGAAGCCACAACTCCGTTGTTTTGTGTTCCTCACTCCCTTCTGTCTGGGATGAAAACAGTAAATGATGGCTGGTGATGGCCAGGGTCCCTCGGATGGGCTGAAGTCCTGGGCATGAGAGAACCACATCGTCTACCTTGGTGGTCTTGATCAGCTCGGCAAATTCCATGGTGGGTGTGGCGGAGCGTCCTGGAAATGTGGCGGTGAAGGAGAAAGCTCTTTGAGAAGAACCTGGAAGATTAGGAAGAAAGCTGAGGAAGGGTGTTTCAGGAAGGATGGGGGAAAAGGCTTTCTGGTCCTTCAAGACAGGGTCATGTTGGCTGATGACCACAGTTGGGACAGGAACTTCTGTGGCTAAGTAAGATAGTAAGTGAGTCATGCCTGATTTTACCACCTTTTTTGCTGTGTTCATTAAGCAAACTGCCCCAGTTGTTACACAAATCCCAGAAATGTTTAAAAAATGAACGGTTCCAAGTCCAGGACTACCAATATACTATGTCTGTAAATGAATGGATAATATAGTCAGAGAGATCTGCTTGGTAAAGAGATGCCTACACTTTCCAGGTCAAGAGTGAGTGGACACAGTGTTTCTCAACCTTGACCATTTTAAGGTATGTGGACTTCAACTCCCAGAATTCCACAGCCAGCATTGCTGGCTGTGGAATTCTGGGAATTGAGGTCCACATGCCTTAAAATGGTCAAGGTTGAGAAACACTGGGAGGGTCCTGCTTCAAAGCGGAGACTAAGGTGGGTTTGTGAGGTGGGTTGGGCTGAGAGGGAGTGAGTGGCCCAAAGTCACCCAGATGGCTTTCACACCTAAGATGGGAGTAGAACTTACAGTCTTCTGGCTTCTAGGCCAGCACCTTGATTATTAGGCCAAACGGGTTCACAATTCGGCATTCTTCAAGCCCACAAACCCAGGGGGCCTTCCTGTCTCCATCCCCACTCCAGTCCCATTCAAGCAGCAGAAACAGCAAGAGATTTCTTAACCCTTTCTGCTTTCTGGGCAACATTAGAGGCTGTTGCCAATTGACCAGGACAAAGACAGTGATCTTAATTTTGTGCCTTTAACCAACACTTGGATTGCACTTGGAGAGGAGAATTTTTGATCTGAATACTAAGGAAGGAAGGAACAGCCCTCACTATAAACAGCACAGATCACTGTGGTTAGAAGTTGCTGTTAGAAGGCCAGGGTGAAAAATTGGCAACCCAAATGAAGCCTTCTGTTAACTTTGGGGTGGACCACAGCGTCTGCCAGATCTGCAGAAGTGAGCTCCGTTCTGTTTATAATGACCCCACTTCTGTCCAGGCGGACCAGGAACTGCCCTTTAGCTAGTAGCAAACCATCTGGTGCAACTAAGCTTTGCTGAAAGTAGTCGCACAGCTTAGAGCGGTTGGCAGGAACTTTTCAGTAAAAGGATCCTGTTTCCCAGCACGGAAGTATTCCTCTGGACCGAGTTAGTGCTGGGAGAAAGCCAAAGAGCTGGGAGCGCCCACTTCCCTTACCTGACAGCTGAATGGGGAACTGGATCTCTTCTGGGACCTGCAAAGGGATCTTGGAAACAGGATCCCCCACCTAGTGGCAAAGGCTGCAGGGAACAGAGATTGGCCAGCCAGCCAGCCGATATTGGCAAAGGACAGTTGTGCAGAAACCTTGCAACTGCTGTTTGTTGTGTTGCTGGGAGCTCAAGCTGGATCTTATAGTGTGAAAGGGTAGAACAGGAACTGCACAGCACTTGGAGGGGGAGAGGCTGAGCAGGGAGGGAGAAAAAGAGAGCGAGAAAGGGAGAAAGAGGATGTGTCGCTTAAGGTAGCCCGGCTGTAATTTGTTTTGTTTTCAGTTTATTTTTTTCCACTGTTGAAGAACTAGAAGAGATGTGTGAAGATAGCAGATGAAACATCGCTGTGATAAACAACAGTCATACATTTGGTGGCCTTGTTGTTTGCTAGGACAGATGATGAGAAAAAAGAGAGGCATGAAATTACTGGAACACTGGAGGAATTGAAACTCTGGGGGAGAGCTTTATTGCGTGATAACAAGACAGACGTGCAGAACAGTGCTTCATGAGCAAAAGGCACTCGATTCTCAGATATTTCCATGGAGAAGTGCAGGGCTGCTCTCTAGTGCAAAAGGAAATTAAAAAGAGGAAAAAAATTATCTGCCAGTATTGTAATCCCCAAGAAGGCAGATATAAAAAAACAGATATCCACAAAAATCCCTCCGTCTTCCCTCCTATATTATTTTTAAAAAATTGTGCATCGAGACCAGCTTTCTCCACCTGGTGCCCTCCCCAGATCCCTGCCATAGAACTGAAAGGAGGGCCTACTGTTGGGGAAGACTGGCTCAATCCAGCAGGATGAACCTGATGACCTCTTAGGTCCCTCCCAATTCTGTTATTCTATGATTTCTTTAGGGTGGTTTGCCAGTAGATGGTTCTCTGAGTTCTTGGAAGTGTCTGCTTGGCTCATGCACTTTTTCTTCTGCCTTTTCTAACAGCTTCTGATTTTTCCAAGCATCAGGGTCTTCTCCAGTGACTTTTCCCTCCGCTCAGGGTGACCTCAGTGTTTATGTTTTACTTCTCTTTGTGGTGCTTCTGGGCAGTTGACAGGTTTGATCTGCAACTGAATGATTTGTTCTTCTTATTGTCCATGGCAGTGTTTCTCAACCACAGCAATGTTAAGAGGGGTGGACTTCAACTCCTAGTATTTACCCAGCGTTGGCAACTTTAAAATGTGTGGACTTCAGCTCCCAGAACTCCCAGCCTTGGCAATTTTAAGACCTGTGGACTTCAGCTCCACAAATTGTCCAGCCTTGGCAACGTTAAGACGTGTGGACTTCCAACTTGCAGAATTCTGGGAGCTGAAGTCTGCACATCTTAATGTCAAGGCTGAGAAACATTGGTCCAAGGTATTCCCAATTACTTTCTCTGACATCCCAGCTCAAAGGCATTGGTTCCACAATAATATTTTTGGAGTTTGGGATGTCCCTGCATTTTAAAAGTCTGTCTAGATCTGTTGTAATCACATAACTACAGTCACATTCCCAGTGAATTGAGCCTAAGATACAGTCTACAACTTCTCACTACTTGCATAGAGTTAGTGTCACTTGCTGACATAATTTTAGGTTTTTTTCAAATTTTGAGGAACAGAATAGCTTCAACAAGAGGTTTGCCGTGTCATTTTCAGATCACCAGGTAGCCTCATCAGCAGAACTGAGTTTGTTGATGCTTTCCTCAACCATTTTAGTTGCCTGTTTCTTCTAATCCAGCATTTCTCATTATATACTCTGCATGTTTATTAAATAAATAAGGTTACAGTAACTATGAAGCTGCTCATTCCCATCTTTGAACTCCTTTTGTTGTTCCCTATTCCATTATAATTGTGGCTTCTTCTTCTTTATACTGATTTTTTCAATAACCCTGGCACACCCATGCTTTTGAGACCTATTCACATTTGATTGTGGTTTACACAGCCAAAAGCCCTTGTAAAATTGATAAAGCCAAAAATAATCTCTTCTGGAACTCTTTTACCTCTTCCATTTGTTTCTCACCCCTAGCAACTTTAATATGTGTGGAGTTCATCTCCCAGAATTCCAGTGTGGAGTTGAATTCCAGACATCTGAAAGTTTCCAACTTTGAGAAACACGGCATTAGACACTAGCAATATGACCTTGAAAGCTGCTGTCTGTTCCGAATCCATTTGTAATTTAGGTAGTGCTCATTCCATGAATTGCTAAAATTTAGATTACAAAATCTTCAGCTTTAAAAGTTGTATATTTTACTCCGCAATGATCAGTTGTCCAGTGATAGGAATGGTAATTTCTTATTTACATTAGGGAAAAACAGAACTATTGTGTTTTACCAGCTGGTGTTTCCCAAGCAGGTTTGGTTTTACATCAGTAAGCCTGTGAAATGTCAGGATCTGCTGTGTTTTCATTGCCAAGTTCTTACTCTTATGTTTAAATCAAGATTAAATGACAATAAAGAGTGGCTTTGCAGAGGCTCGAACAGTGTATAAATTTAATAAAACAAACAAACAAACAGTGATAAGGCACTCATGTTCTCCAGATGGGTTGAAGACAGTTCTAATAGCCCTTTGCTGTTGACAACAAAGGATTGCAATTGATGAGTCTTGTCCACAATACTTGGAAGACTCCAGATGGTTCATTCCTGATGGAGCATTGTGGGTGCTGTCAAGATGGGTGCTATTCCTCACACTCCAGATGTACACCGAGGAGACTGGATTTTGAAGACAAAAAATGTTTGCAGCCAGTTACATTTTCTCTTAGATCTTCCCCCCATCTGCTTTGACAAAATGAGCCCCTCTCTCTGTTCCCCACATGGATTCCCCCTGGCCAAAACTCACAGGGTTGGAGTTAAAATGTAGGGCTTCCTTTGAAAATAATAAATAACACATTTTTCCTTGCCTTGAGGGAAATGAATGTTCGACAAGCTGCTGTGCTGTGGGAATCCAACCTGGGCGGATGGTGTGAAGTTCAGCATGTCACACAGACCCAGAACATTGGATTCATCAAGATAAAATGCTTCCAGAAGATAGTGGGAAGTTTATTTTTGAGCTGTTCCCAAAAAGTGAAACAGGCTTTCTGCTTTTCCCCCCAGGGTTCGTTCACCCCAATTCAATGCCCAGGGTCAGCTTCCTGCTCACCCATCTGGGGGCCAGTCTTTCAGGGAGGGGACTTTGTGAGGGTCAGAGGTGAACAGGCAGCAGCTATAATGCAAGCACCAGCTGTGAAGACTTGGTCCCACCACCAGAGCACTGGAAAGAATTCTTGAGCCCTTGGAAGCCAAAGTTACAGCATTATTTAGGAATGTATACACTATTAATACTCTTTCTGTGTTTATTTGTTTGTCTGTTTGTACCCTCAAGTTAACCCAAACAAGGCATTATACTACTAACTTAAAAATGTGTAAAAAAAATCCAGGATCTATTACTCTGGTGGAATTGAAATCTTAATCTTAAAAGAGAGCCCCATTAACGGCAGAAAATTAGCACACCTTCGGCAAAATCCATACTGAGCAAGATGTGTTCTGGTTTGTTCCAAGCTGGATTCCAATGAGCACACAGGACAACTGCTTAAAGCTGCTTTATTCAACAGTGTAACAGACAGTTCAGCAATCAAAGGTGGCCACAAATTAGAAGACCGAAACAGTAATATTGATAGGAAAGTCTACCTGTTGTTTAAGGCATGGGTGAACGAGCTTGCTGATATATTTGCCTTTGAGAGGCACACAGGATCTGATGAGGAGAAAATGTACTTTTCCTACCCTGAATGAAATATAATTTTTCATTTTTTGTGTGTGCAGATGTTGACTTTGGCTGATGGATCCAGGGCTGGAAGAACCTTACTATATTTTGTGTGTAAGAGATTTGCGTGTCTTGAAGAGATTTTCTTTAATTTTTAATTGAGTTGCCAATATTTGCCAATTTCCTAGTGAAAAACACACTTTGTCAGCTTCAGCCCAGGTGTCAATATAAGCCCAAAGGCTTAAGACAGTGGTGGCGAACCTATGGCACGGGTGCCAGAAGTGTCACTCAGAGCCCTCTCTGTGGGCACATGCGCCGTCGCCCCAGTCCTAGGCCTTCAGCTGGCTTTTATAAAATCTTTTCGCTTTAGGCCTCCACTGCTGTGTGCAAAAAAAAAAAAAGGTTCAATCAATCAGTCAATTTCAACTTCTTGCAGAAAAAAAAAAGATCTTGCAAAGTTGGAATTGATTGATTGAACTTTTTAGTCCCACTCAGTTTGCCGTTACCACTGCAGCCGTGCCCACCCAATGGGCCACGCCTACCCAATGGGCCATGCCCAGCTAGCACTCCACGATGTATAAGTGGGTTTTGGGTTGCAGTTTGGGCACTCAGTCTCTAAAAGGTTCGCCATCACTGGCTTAAGAGGTCCTGTCTTTTATTGTGTGGGGTTCAGGGATGGTCAGGCTTGGTAAATGGCAGGGATGGCAAAGATGGTGTGTGGGTTTTCCTTTCTCAGAGATGGATAAAAGGCAGAAAGACCATTCTGTTTTCTTACTTTGGGGATCTGCAAGGTCAACAAAAGTAAAGATGGAAATTACATTTAACATGAAAACAAAGCAGGGTTTGATTGCACCGTTGTGACCACCATCTGTGGACACTCCCATTTCTTACCATCCTGGAAACCGCTGTGTCTACCTTGGTGACTTTCTAATATGCATCCTGCCTCTGCCTGCAATAAATGTGTCTTTCCAGGGCCACCAGTCCATGGAATTTACGGGAGAATCCAACACTATACTGAAGTGCATCAAGTGGGTTGGTTGATTAGAGTCAATAGGAGGTGATGCTGCTTTACCTCCCTTGTTGTCCCGGGGATTTGAACTTAAAGGAGAAGCAAGGTCACAGGAAAACTGGGCAGGCCCAGAGGGCAGAGAAGATGCCCCAGTCAAGATCTCCTGGCCTCTGGTAAGCTAAAGCCTAACTTGGCTGGATAAAAAAAATTGCCCTTGAACCTTTCATCTTTCCAACTCATTTCAGACCTGGGTGGAGGATTTACGACTCTTCTTGGCTGATGATAAGAAAAGGAAGCAGTGCCTGCAGGATAAATTACTTTACACTCTTGCTGACTTTTATGTTCCGATTAAAACTTCCTTTCAAAGAATAGGGTGTCTCCTCTCAGCTCGAGACAATAATAGTTTACTTAAAAAAAAAAAAAAAACCTCTGCCGTTCACCTCTGGATAATTAAAGTTCCTGCTCTTTTTTATATTTCCAAGGACTTGATTGTTTCAAGAATAAACAGCTTTCATTTATAGCACACATATACCGCGTGCACACCGAGAAGGAGAGTGATTTTGTTATTTGGCTCTCTGTAGAGACACACTCTGTGCTCGGCACTTCTGCCATGGCCCTGGTGAGGTTCAAGGAATTGGGGGAAGATGAACTGAACTTAGAAGAAGAGAACCTAGACAGCGTCAAGGCCTTGACGACAAAGTTGAAGCTACAGACACGGCGCCCATCTTACCTAGAATGGAAGGCCCACGTGCAAAGCCCCTCCTGGAGAAATGGGCTGCGGGCTGGAGCGCTGAAGACCCACCTGGAGAAGCAGGGCGAAGAGGCAGTGGGAGAAGAGAATCAAGCCCAGGGACCCTTGAAGGCTGTTTGTGGATTCCCCACCATTGGTATGGCCTTTGAATGGCTTCGGATGGAACTGGTAAGTAGCCCTTTGGATCTCAGGAGAAGTTGGCCTAACAGGGTCAGATAATCTGATAGTCCTGCCATCTATCTGGTAGGACTACAGGAAGCTACATTTGGGGCAATTATAATAAATCTCAATGGAATCTACTGGAAGATGGGGCAGCAAAATCCTGGTTCTTCAATCTCCAACCAGGAGCAGCTGCTATTCATCCCTTCAAGTTAACCTCTGCTGTTTTGCTGGGCAGTGGGCTTCTGGAGAACGTAGGCAGAGGAGAAAAACCCATTAGGTCAATATCTTTCAAGGACTACCTCCCAGCCAGTAGCTTCTTACAAGTTGTGCTTCTTTTGCTTCTGCTCCAGGTATAAATGAGAGGCAAAGAGTCCTGTCTGAGAAGGACCAACATCTAGTTCAGGGGGTCTTCAACCTTGGCCAAGAACTTGTGGACTTCAACTCCCAGAATTCCTCAGCCAGCCATTCTTTTGTCCAACCCTCAGCTCAAGATGGCTGAGGAATTCTGGAAGTTGAAGTCCATAAGTCATAAAATGGCCAAGGTTGAGGACCTCTCATTCTAGCTGAAGCCACCATGACAACATTGCACCGTGGTGATGATGATGATGCTGCATCACATGTGACATCATTGATGCTCCTGGTCTCCTCTGATTATTAGAAGTGGGAAGCGTTAGCCAGGGAAATGTTTTGAAACCTGCTAAGTCCAACTTGGCACTGGCTTCCTCACCTGGTACCTTCCTGACAAGCTGGGTCAAGTGGCTGAGTACAACTGAAAGCTTTCAAAAACAGAGGACAGATCCTAATACGGTGGCCATGAAGTTCTATTTTTGAGATTGAGCCATTCTACGGTGACCGTGATAGATATTACATCATTTCTTTTAGTTTTGCTTCCAGCTTTTTGCCCTCATTGTCCTAGCAAAGGAGTAGCTTGCCATGTTGGAGAAAGTGTGTGCGTAACATTACGTTAGAATCTTTGGCTGCTTGCAAATTATTAGTTGGCAGCACTAACGTCTTTTCTTCTGGCAGACTGTATGGCCATTGTTGACGACAATATTGCTAAATTTTGCCTAACAACTCTGAGGACGTGGCAGCAAATATTAGCCAACATTGCTGAGGTCTTTTAAAACTGTTGAATATTTTTTTTTGTTCCTTCTAGTTCCTTCTTTGCTACTGTTGAATCTTATTATGATGGATTTTAGGTGCACCTGCTAGTCAAATAAGCAAACGAATAAAGAAAAATAAACACATAAGGCCACAAATAAAGTCTTAGTTAGTTATCAACGTATTTTCTAAAATGTGGCAATGTTCAGTGGGTAAATAAATTGCAGTAATATGAAACTCAGCAGTTGTCTCTCAATACTGAATGTAGTCAGACTGCATTCCCATATTTTAAGAAAAGGGGAACAATATATTTGAGCAATGGGAAATCCGTGGCCATCCCGAACATTTTCCAGCAATTTTATGTGAATGTGAATTGCCCACAGCATCTCAGTGTTCTCATAGCATTTTGGCGGTCTCTGATTGGCGAAACATGGACTGGTCAAGGGGGGAACGGAGACAGGAACTTTTTCTGTATCTTGTTCATGTGGGAAAATCTTAGAGCTAGCCTGACTTTACTGCAACCCGCTTCCTTCAATAAAAGAACCTATTACTTCAACCTAATGGAGTCGAGGGTCTTTCTTTCCTAAGGGATTAGATTGGCGCAGGTCTGGCAGTTGGTCACTGGGTCCAGAAGTTTACTCTTCCAAGCTTTTGGACTCGTGCTGGAACCCATCTCCAGAGAATTCCTCTCTACTGGAATATTGGCTAGTTTAGACTATTCTGTGAGTCGTATTTATGTGGTGCCTTCCAGTTGGTTAATTGATATATTGATGGCTGGCAATTGGCTGTTGTTTCCTTGTGCTCACAACTCCTCGGCTCCTAAGTACCTGATAAACTGGTGGTACATCAGCAATCCTGTTAACTGACAAGAGGCCCGTTTCCCAGGCTTCAATCATTTCCTTGGCTATCTTTGTACCAGCTCGGCCAACAATCTTACGGTAGTAGTTGAGAAATTAAATGTGTGTCCTTGTTCATTGCAATGAGTTTGGGCCTCCTTGTCTGACCGCTCACTTGTGTTCTTGTAATCTGGTAGTTAATTCCTCCCTGTCTGTCCTACATAGTCAGAGGGGCAATCCATGCAGGAGATCCAGTATATCCGGTAGATTTGCCTTCATTCATGAGTATCATGTAAATGAGTATTACGTAAAAATAACAAAGGCAGGATAAAAATCTAATAAATAAATACATGTGATGTCAGGCCAATGTTCTCTTATTTCTTGTTCCAGAGGAAGATGCAGGCCATGGACCACCAGCTGGCACGGCAGCTGATGGGGCTGCGGGCCCAGATCCACCAGCTGAAGGTGGAGCAGGCCTGCCATCGCCACAAAGAGATGCTGGATGACGCCACCTTTGAACTGGAGGGCTGTGAGGAGGACTCGGATCTGCTCTGCAACAGTCCCCCCAAGATGGCCTTCCTCTTGTCTACCCCTCTCAAGCACATTGGAGTCACCCGCATGAACATAAACTCCCGCCGTTTCTCCTTGTGCTGATGGACCTTTACCCCTTTGCATGCTTGCTTGGCGCTTGTGGCTGTTGGCAGCCAGGGAGTATCTTGGCCCCCATTGCCTGCACCTGTAGATTTTGTGCCCGTGTAGAGCAACTGGTGTCTCACCTGGCTGATCTGCTCTGGGCTCAGGAATGTATCCGGACAGGCAACCTCAGGGAGGTGAGCTGGGAGACAAAACACATCCTCTCAGGAAGGGAAGTTTTGCTTCTTAGGAAAAGGAGATGAAAAGCAGAGAGCAATATGGATCAAGAAGGACCATTGGTGTCCTTTTGGCAATTCACAGGCCTAAGGAGCATCTGGGGGAGAACAAATTCCATCTGCAGGTTCAGAGAAGGGCCGATGCATGCATCAGTCGGCAAGGCATGAAAAAAGGGGCAGAGTTCACACACTGCAGATTGACTTTTTTGATCTCCCCTCCCTTAAGGTCTTCTCTGCTGTGGTCCTCTGGACCTGGCCAAGGATGCAGGAAGGGCAGTGACCTCAAGAGAAAAAAAATTGCTGGTCAACGTGTCTCTTTTAACTGGAAGGCTGATCACCCCTTCACTCCTCCTCATTTATTTTGCCCATGTATGTTTTAAAAGCTTGCTTCCTTTTTATTGTATGTCAGTTGATGTGGCTTTGAGAAGCTGCAGTCAGCAAAACACTTTAAAAAACAGCAATAAGAGGTGCGTCACTTGAGTATTGTGTGTTGTTTATGAATGTGTACCTTTGTGCTCTGCCTCAGCCTGGCTCCACTTCGTCTTTAGACCGGTTGGTCTTCTATGATATTTCTAAGAGCTTTCCCCTTGTCTTCTCTGTTTACAAATTCTAAAATGGAGCAGGAAACGAGCACCAATCGGCCCCAGTTCAGAGCGGCTTTCTCTTTTTCGATTGTGTTTTAATTGTGCAAGCTGTTCTGTTTAGGATGTGAGAAGGGCACTAAGTCCATGTCCCAGGGAGCACAACAATCAGCTCTGCTTCGATGTAAGCCTTGGGTGCAGGTACTGTACATGCAAGAGCCAAGAGTCTCATGCTATGTGAGTACAAGTAGGCCTCGACTTATGACCGGTTGCTTAACGACCATTCAAAGTTATGAGCTGCCTGCAAAAATGGCAGTGATGACTCAGTTCCAAAGTTCCTGTGGTTGTTCCCCCCCCCAGCAGTCATGTGATCACATTTTAGGCACTCAGCAACACTGTCCATTTACAGCTGTTTGCAGTAACCACGCTTTACGATGATTTTGCTGAAAACTTTAAATGTTCCTGTTGTGATGGGTAATGGGGTCATACGTTATTACTGAAAGAAAAGCCACTTTTATCCAGTTTTGGGTAATTTCTTCAGATTTGGGAAGCATGGCCGTAAAGGCTATTTCCTCTGTTCAGTGACTTTTTTGACACACCTCCATAAACACACCACGTCCTTCTCAGCCCTATCCTCGCCATTTTTAACTGAGTGTGCAAACAGTGCTTTTGTGGTTACATTAGCAAGCTTGGCACAATTAAGTAAATACATGAAAAAAAAACCTTCAGAAATCATGATTCTCTTGCTCGTTGTGATCTCTGCTCATTTCTACTGTTCTCTCCTTTGCAATATTCATTATTATCAATCTTTATTATGGTTTATTACTCAGCAGGAAGCAAATGTAACCATGTGGTTAAATGTAACTCTGGATCAATGCTTTTCAACCTTGGCAACTTTAAGATGTGTGGATTTCAATGCCCAGAATTCCCCTGCCAGCATGGGTTAGACCTATGGGGTTTAAAATAAATAAAAAGAATGCACAGAAGAAATTTCAACTGAAAGGAATATTAGGGACAGAAAAGGCCAAGGTTAGTGAATCACAATAAAGCAAGAGTCCCCTTAAAAATGAAACTAAAAAATTCAGAGTGAAATCCACTTACAAATCAGCCTCTGATAAACCCAGCAGGAAGATATAATGATTAACTGGATACAGAGAAAACAAAGAAAAGTCTAAGACAAAAATCAGTGCTCAAGTTGAGGTCAAGCCATGTTTGGCTAACCGTGATGAATTGTGTTCAGTTCATCTTAGTGATGAACATAAAGATTATTTTATATGCATCCATACGGAGCTAAGCTAATTGCCCATAACCTCAAGATTATTGTCTGAAAAGGGGAAATGCTTTGCAAGATTGCCATTAGTATTGTTCTTGTCACTAGTCCCGAAAAGGAAAAAGTTCACGCAAGAGCAACTAAAATGATGAAACTGGAGTAGGCAAGTAAAAGAGAGGGGCCAGAGGCTTGGAACATCGGGCATGGTATGCAAAATGTGGGAAAAGCCATTCTTCCTCCTTTTTCACAGTTCAAGGCAGAGTTAATTTATGCCATCAGATATGGCGACCATCCCTGGTGTATATGGATCTAAAGAAGAATTGGACATGGAGAATCAGGCCGTCCGCAGCTACCACCCTTAATCATGACACCTTCTTGAAAGTGGTGGATTATTGTAAACACTGTCTATAGGGGAGAACCCAGAAAGGGGTTTGCTGCTCTGGGAGAGCTGCTTGGTGGACCAGGTGGACCCTTGGATGGTAGTCCTCCTTTCAGAATATCCATGGAGGACTATCAAAACAGACACCCCTGCTTTCTTCCTCCTGTTTATTTATTTATTGTACTATCGAATTTATATTGCTGCCCATCTTGGAGATGTGACTCTGGGCCGTGCACAATAAAAAAAATTAGAACAAGTCTAAAATCTAAAATTAAACCTTCCTCCCTTCCTTCCTTCCCTCCCTCCCTCTCTTCCTTCTTCCATCCATCCCTCCTTCCCTTCCTTTTCCTTCCCTCCCTCCCTCCCTTCCCCACTCCCTCCCTTCCTGAAAAAAAAAAAGACAGAAAAGCTGCACACAGTTTTCATTGGATCCATTCTGTGCGCAAGTTCTTGATTTTTCCAATCTACTCTCCATCCCCATCTCTCCACCACAGAGTCCAGTGCCCTGGTTTATTTTTTATTTATCCTCCCCGTCCTAGCTAGTTATTTCATTGACATCTTTTTGTGAGAAACAAACATTTCAAGTGGGACTTATTCATCATCATCATCTACAAAACTCCCCCCCCAGGCATTTTGTTCCAGAAAATGTCCATAAAGACTGTCCCATTCCAAATGAAAGAACAAACTTGTGACCCACTCAGCCACCAAGTGTTGGGTGCGACTTATGAATGAAGCTTAAGTAGTAACAATGTCAGGATGAGGGGCCAAAAATCAATGTGGGGAGCAGGGCAGTCATCTGAACTTGGCTGGGGTTGATTATGTCACCATGTCTCATTTTTTCAGGTCCAGTAGAAGAACAATTTTTTGCATTGTTCCTGGCTAGTCAGCTGCCCATTCAGAAGGGAGAACCACCTCTGGTGATCCCTTTGGACCAGATCTAGAGCCTGGAGCTCCCCTGACACTTATGTAAATGTCTGGAAGCATTCCTGAAACATCCTTTGAATCCATGCCCTCTCTTTCTTCTTCCCACTGTAATGGTTCCCAAAATTCAAAAGGCATAACCTGTGTCATGTGTCAAGGGTGCACACCTGGTGGCTCAGGAGATCCATAGAGGGCCAGCTGCAAGATTCAGCCATTGAACTACAGAAGGCAGGGGGTTGACGTTGGCAGGAAACTTTTGGGGTTTGTAAACTGCTTTAGAACTTTTTGTGGTCAGACAAGTGCTACAAACACACTTCTGATGCTGCCTCTGCAGAGATCTTAGAGGGCAGGAAATCAGCAAGAAAGGTGGCAAGAGAGAGAGAGGGGAGAGAGAGAGAGAGAGAGAGAGAGAGAGAGAGAGAGAGAAAGGGAGAGAGGAGTGAAGAAATTTTTGTTCTTTTCATCTGCAAAGTTCTGTCTCTGTCTAAACAGTTAATGTGGATTAACTCTGCAGTGTGATGAGGAAGACCTTTCCCTCCCTTTCAAATTGTGGGAACCACGGAGAAACTAAACCCCGACTAAAAGTAAGTAATGAAGAAGAACCGAGAGAGGGCTTTGTTCCAAACCCAAGACCACAGGGCTGGGCAATTGCGGCCCTTTCATGACTCGTGGATTTCAACTCCCAGAATTCCCCAGCCAGCAAAAAGAAAGCCTTGGCTTTTCCTCGCCTCTCTAGGTGGAATTTTCTTCCAAAGGATCTCCTCCAGATGTTCTCCTAAATTTTCTTCTTTGAGAGTTGTAGGTCACCATTTGAGGAAAAGTGCTTGGACTATAAGGGGATATTATTGTTTACGTAGCTTTTTTGTTTGTTGGTTTCTAAGGATTCCATTCAACACTGATTCTCTAGAAGTTGTAGTTAAACGAGTGGTTTAATTACTAATGATAACTATCTGATTTGTAAACAAGAAGTAGAAGACGTTATGACTGCAATCTTTGTCCCAAAGGCGCTTTCTTTCAAAAATGCAATTGGACAGAAGAAAGTCCAGTTTCCTTTTTGAAAGAAAGCGCCTTTGGGACAACCATGATCTGTCCTGGATGACTGAGAATCTCCAAAGACGGCAATCTTTTCCCCTATTTTTAAATTAAGGAGATATATATGAAGTGTGTTAAGTTTGCATGTGTACGACGGAGAGATACTAACTATATTCGGGCATTTGTTCAACTTACATCTTTTGTTTGGGTTGAGTTTTCAAGGCACCTTACAGCATAAAGCATGCAATCAACACAAGAGAAGATGGGCTCATGGCAAACAGGCACATCTGTAACATAAAATATATGTGATCAGTAAACAAATGCTTGTCTGTAGAAATATTATGAAGTAAATCTTAATGGGGAAACAATGCAATTTAGTGACAGCAAAAAAGACATCAGAGAAATACAAGGGGCATAGGAAGCATTCAGGACTTCAAGGAAATGAATTTAGAGATTACATGAAATGTTAGATAGACAACTAGTTGTCTTCTAAGTGTGTTGAGCTTCAATTGCTTTCAAAATCCAGCAAATCTGTTAGGGAAGGAAGATACTACACGTAGCTTACAACCATTCACTGAGCGACTGATTACAATGGCCCTGAAAAAGTGACATACAACCGGTCCTCACACTTATGACCATTGTTCTTAACAACCATCACAGCATTCCCATGGTCACATGATCAAGATTCAGGCACTGGCTTGTATATACAATGGTGGTAGCATCCTGGTCATGTGATCACCATCTGGGGCCTTCTGAAAAGCAAAGTTAATGATAGAATTCAGATTTGCTAACAACTGTTTGATTTACCTAACTGTGGTGATTTGCTTAACAATCAGCAAGAAAGACTGTACAATTGGATGCAGCTCTCTTAAGAACCACCTTGCTTAGCACCATAAATTCTGGTCCCAATTGCATTTGAAAGTCAAGGACTACCTCTACTCTCTAATAATTTAGTTTCAAATTAGCAATATCTTGCCGTTATATTGCAATGTAGGATACCGTACCTTTCTAAAAATCAGTGTCCCTGAATTTGGGTGGGAAGGCGACTTTGGGCCTGTTATTTTTCTCCAAGCCCTAGCAAGAAGGCAAGGACAATCTACCCATGAACACTATTATCAAGAAAATGTCCAGATAGTTGCCTGTGATCAAGACTGATCTGAAAGCACACAACAATAAAACCTTGCTCTGGGACCTATAGTGATCCTGCCAGATTACCTTTGTTCACTTGGAGAACAATCTCATTCTCTTTGGATTGGTCAGAAATACATCCCAAAGTGAATAAGGTAATTTATTTGGTAAATATGCTTAAAGGTAATGCAGAGCCTAGGAAAAATGTGGTTGATTGAAAGTTTGAACATAGATGCTTTTCCTGGCTAAAGAATAGAGAGAAAGTGTCAAGTCAAAGAACGTAGGGAGAAAAATATCACATTTTTCTTCCTCTCCTTACCTGGTAAGAAATATTAATTGCGTACCTGGAACAAACTAAATCTATTGCCTGAAGCAGCCAGTTCACTTTGTGTCATATAAGGGCGGATTCTGTAACTCTCTAACCTGCTTTATCGACCTTTATTTAAAAAAATATACGTCCCCAGCAATACCCTGTGTGTTTTGAAACAGTCTATATGATAGATCCAGTTCCAGGTTTAAATTCCTGAGAAAATGTTTTCCGTTGATATAACAAGATTGCAAAAATGCCTGTTCTGAATGCTGAACCTTGGAGTAACTTCCCAACTAGAAACGGTGGGAATTTTGTGAATCAATTATGGTGTTCAAGGAGATATTAGAAGGAGAACCATACATAAAGCTTCCAACATCTGTTCTTATTCTCTTCCAATGAAAGAAGGCTATTTCGGAATGTGGAACTTGGAAAAAAAAAGAAAAAGAAGGCAGGTTACAGAATTGAAACTAAAGTTGCAGAATTTAAAGAAAAGCAACCTTTTTGGAATCGACCTTGCTTGCTTTTTGTTATGCGCAGTGTTTTTACCTTCAAGCAGGACGTCATTTTGGAAGCTGCATCGATGTGGATCATTTGGATTTATGCTTTTTAAGCTATTGTTAAGAATGCAGGATTATTAGCAAGAAACAAAGCGTTACCAACATGCTTGTTAGATGTTGGGGCCATTTTGTTTATTTTGTACAGTAGTTCTCCAAAATGGTCTGTCAGGAAGTGTCAAAAGCTATTCTTGTTTAGAATCTATTTCAGAATAACACATTTGGAAGCAGTCATTTAAACCATGGTTTACACCTACACCCACATTCTTAGGCATCAGTTAGTTAAGACAGTGTATTGCAAAGCTGTCAGAAGTCCAAAACCATTAGCCTGCTTTCTGAAATTGAAAAATATACAGAAATATTTGAAATACATAATATTTGCATGAAGGCTACTTCATTCCAGAAAAGCCACAAAAACTGGGGCATCATATTAACAAAAGGCAGCTTCTGTTCTTTTAACCTCAGTCTTTTTCCCCCCCATCCTGGCTGACCGTAATTTGCTACCCGTAACCGTCTCGCTGAGCAACAGAAATTTTGGGCTCAACTCTGGTCATAAGTTGAGAACTACTTATATTACCTCTTGAGGGATGTCATATTTCGCCAGGACTGAAAAACAGAATTGGTTGATAGGAGAAAATGTGATCTCCAAGTATTGCCCCTGTTCCACCAACTCAGTGTAGCCACTACGGTATGACTTGCTCTGGGCAAGTGATGATATTGCTGCTTCTAGTACCTGATAGTTAATTCACGGAAGATCATGGATGATGGGCAATGTATTTTGTTAGCAATTTGTTTCATTTTGCCTTCCTTTGTTTTCATTTCTAATTTCATACGTTTTGCTGAAGATCTTACTTAGATGTTCAGAGTTCTGAAGCTGGGCTCATGACCTGATTGTGTCTCGGTCTCCTCTCCTGTCTTTGCAGACATTATGGGTTGCTGCTGCAGTTTAGATTATGATGATGATGACTGGGCTGTAGACGCTGAAATTTGTGAGATGTGTCATTATCCTATTGATCCAGCCACCAAGCCAAAGGTGAGAAATCTCACTCGTTGCCCTGGTTTGCTCATTTGCACATTAATCTCATCTCCTTTTTGAAAACACATTGGGGACCTATTGTACGCATGTACACTGCACTGTCTAAGCCACTGGTTCTCAACCTGTGGGTCGGGACCCCATTTGGGGTCGAACGACCATTTCACGGGGGTTGCCAAGCAACACAGTCCGCCATTTTTCCCCCCTTTTCCTTAGCTGTGCTACTCCCTTTTATTCTATTGGCTTTTGAAAGCCAATAGAATAGACTCTCTTGAATAGAGTCTAATTCTATTGGCATTCAAAAGCCAATAGGAATTGTCCAGGCTGTCTCTGCCCTGCTGAGCCCGCCAAAAGTCCCATTCTGCAAACGGTGCTGTACCAGTTGAGTAGTCCTTGACTTATGACCGGTTGAGTAGTCCTCGACTTACGACTGGTTGGGGGTCGCGGCATTAAAAAGGTTGAGAACCACTGGTCTAAGCAGCGTTTCCTGACCTTGGCAGTTGTGAGATGCCCATCTTAAAACTGCCAAGGTTGGAAACACTGGTATAAAGTCTCACACCAAAAGTCCCACATCCTAATTTGTATATTTCAGCTTTATTTATTTATTAAAAAAAAACATGTTCTATCTCTGACCCAGTTGTATACCTGATTTCACAGCTGGCAAGATCAATTTTCATTTTAGCCAGATATGGAGTGTCATAAGACTATCCGAGAATAATAATAATTTCATTTGGGTGAGGAGGAAGCATTTTAGTTCCGGTCTTCTTCCATCACATTTGAAAACGGTTTTACCTCACTTTTCGCCTTTCTTGCAATTAAAGGATGTTTGATTTTAGCATTGTCTCTCCTGCAGAAGCCCACTTTAAATGGTTCTGAGTGGCAAACCCCTCTGTTGGGGGCCGAAGGGATTCCTCCGCCTAGTTCACCCCTCCAAGGTGAGTGTTTTATTTTACCTTTCAGCTTTGGATGTTGGCCGAGCTATGCAAAGACAATCTGGTTTTCTTAGCAATGCAATAGATCTGTGGCATCTGTGGTTGGCAAGTTGAGGGGCTGGGGGCAAACTTAGGGCAGAGAACAAAATAAGGGAACCGCATCAGTTTATCAACAGCTGGGAGAGATTGCAGAAGCTTGGCCCACATCTTAGAAAAAATATTGCTCCAATATATTCAGAAGAATATTCAGATGAATCTCTCCGATGCTTGATTCCTCTAACCATCCCCTCTAACCAATTGTTTCAGTTGTTTTAGTTGGGTCAAATTTTGCTTGTTTTGTTAGTTCCTCAGAATTTGGGTGGCTGGTGGGTGTGTTTGAAGATGTAAAAATATGAGTCATAATGGCTGTCAGGAAAACAAAAGCAATTCCCAAGCAGAATGCTTTCTCATCCTTGCTTAGGTCTCCCCTCAGAAGTCAGACTGCGCAGCAATTCTGTCCTTTTTTTTTATTACTTGCAAGCATGCTCAAATAGCTCATTACTCTTCCAAACATTAATAAAAGATTGATAATTTCAGAATAAGCTTAAAAGATTATAGAATAAAGCTGGGAAAAAACAAAGATAAACACACTTTCTAGTTACAAACTTTGCTTTGGGCTCAAAGGGACTTTTCATTTGCCAAATTCTAGAATAGTGCCATAAAACTACACCAAACTAATTGCCTTTCCTAATAAACTTATTTCCGTAAAACTAAATGGACAGTAGCAGCCTAATTTGCTGTTATTTTTCTTTTTTCAGCAAACTTTCATTCCTTGATATAAATGACATATTATTCACAGCTTTTCAAAAGCATGTCTCACAATTTTTTATTTTCAACAAATATTTTAATAGGGGCAATAAATTCATGTACTTCCTTTAATTGTTCACCATTTATGTATAACTTGCAATTCTTTCCTCCCCTGTTAGACACCCATATCTTGATATCTGATAGATTAATTTTGGATTCATACTCCTTCTTACATCAGATCAATCTTTATAACTGTTGCTGCAATAAAATGTAATCAATCAACAAAATAGCATTGTTTACATGCGTACACATTTGTCCGCAACCGATACATGTCTAATGTCACCAATAGCATTTTTAAAAATATTTTTCCATAAACTCATTGAAAAGCAAAAATGACAATAAGCTTCCTTGATTTATTCCTTGGTCAAATATTAACTACTTGCTAAGCATTTAACTGATTCTCATGCTCTTTGCTTCTGTCATAAACCACTCTTACTACTTTCAGAGGTCAACCAATTCCAAATTCCATAACTATTTGCTTTAGGATACACTTTCTCTAAATCAACAAATATATAATAAACTTCCTCACATTCATACATGCTTTAATGACCTGCTGAAAAGGACAGTTCTGTTCAACCCTTGCCTAGAATAAAGCCACACTGCACTTCCTCAATTTCGTTGATTGATAACTTGCATACTCATTCAGTTGGGCATCATCTTCCAAGGCAGAGTAGTATCCCTGTAGTTTTGCAAATTTCCTACTACTATCCCTGGGTATAAGGATAACAGCAGGATTTCTCCAGTCATAAACACAGTCTTCACACGTGTGTTAAATAAATGTTGCACAGATGATCCATAAGCATATTTTAACACCTGCAGCCTTATTTTCCGACATACAGCATTCGTGACTTCCCCCCCCCTTCTTATTGAATATTGATTGCATTTCTTTTGATTCCATTCTTCAACACACCACTATCCATGCCATATAAATGTTTAAAATACTCCTTCCAGCTTTCCCTCACTTCAATTTCACTCCGTATGATTTCACCACTTTAAGTTTTAAATTGTTTCACGGTGTTAGAGGTTTCTTACATAGCCCTCTTCACTCACTGAAAGCAATATTTTGTGTAGGAGATGACCAGGCTGAGCTCAAGGGAGGGGCCAAACATTCATAAGACACAAGCGCTATCCAAGTCAAACTCACCTTGAATGCCTCCCATCCGTTTCCCTTAACCGCCAGTTGGTCAAATTCTTGTAGACAGCTTAAGCTTGCAATAAATCTTTATACTCATATGAACTACCTGAATCTCCTGATTTCCTCGGCGCTTGGCATTTTGTTTCCTTTAGAATCATTCTTTCTGGCTCCTTTAATTGTAAATGTTGTGCTTGCAATTATTTTCTCTCTATATATATTTATTTCTTGACTGAATTTTTCCAGCAGCCGTTCTCTTCAATATACCTTTCTTCACCCCCAGCCTTTTTTATGTTGCACTCTCACAGTATCTTTCCCCATGGTCTTCATACATGGTTCATAGTCTTCTGCAAATAATAATAATAATAATAATAATAATAATAATAATAATAATTATTATTATTATTATTATTATTATTATTATTATTATGGATCATCGCACAGTCAGCCAGATGTTCAGACTGGATTTGACATTTTGTCTACCTATCGAGTCCTTACCCAGGACCTGGGATAGGCAGATTTTTTATTATTATTATTATTATTATTATTATTATTATTATTTCAGACAAATTATTGTCTAGTCTCTTCTTAAAACCTTCCAGTGTTGGAGCATTCACAACTTCTGGAGGCAGGTTGTTCCACTGGTTAATTGTTCTAACTGTCAGGAAGTTTCTGCTTAGTTCTAAGTTGCTTCTCTCCTTGATTAGTTTCCATCCATTGCTTCTTGTCCTGCCTTCAGGCGCCTTGGAGAATAGCTTGACTCCCTCTTCTTTGGGGCAGCCCCTGAGATATTGGAACACTGCTATCACGTTCCCCCCTTGTCCTTCTCTTCATTAAACTAGACATACCCAATTCCAGCAACCGTTCCTTATATGTTTTAGTGTCCAGTCCTCTGATCATCTTTGTTGCTCTTCTCTGCACTCTTTCCAGAGTCTCAACATCTTTTTTAGTGGTGACCAAAACTGGATGCAGTATTCCAAGTGTGGCCTTACCAAGGCCTTGTAAAGTGGTATTAACACTTCACGTGATCTTGATTCTATCCCTCTGTTAATGCAGCCCAGCACTGAGTTGGTTTTTTTGGCAGCTGCAGCACACTGCTGGCTCATATTTAAATGATTGTCCACTAACTCCTTTCCTTCTATTCCTAGCAGCCTTTACTCAGAATCCTGTTTTGTTTTCTAAAAATACGTTCGTGCCCTTTTTAGATAAACTGGTGGTTGCCCTCTATGACTATGAATCAACTCATGAAGGCGATCTTCTGCTTCGAACAGGAGAACAGCTGAGGATAGTAGAAGAGTAAGTTGGTTTCTGTTGTGGGGCTCTACATGGTTCATCAGCAAAAGGGATTAACTCTTCTGTCTGAAAACAGCTCACGTTGCACTGAAGGCTTGCCTTCCACCAGGAAGTGCACCTTCGCATCATGTTAATATCAGTAATATGGGCCAATGAGGATTTAGACGTACATTTATACTGTGAAAAGTTTCTAAGGGGGCTGTGAGATCCCTCAAAATTAATTTAGCTCAACTGATAAAAAACTGCAAGAACTTGTAAGTATGTATATGTATATATACACACACACATGCAAAAACACACAAAGACAAACCAAAACAATGTGAGAATTCCGTAGTTTTGCCATGGTTGAATTCAGTCTCTGAGTAGGGACTTTTTACCAAAGCACACAAATTCATTTACTGTCTCTAATGTTTTGTATATGCATAAGTTGTGCAGTGTGTAAAAAAAGGGGTCGGGCTTTGATTGGCAAGCTGCAGTAGCCATCTTGATCTATTGGACACTTCTGCTCTCCCTAATGGGTAGTCTGGTGTTGGAGTATATCCCACCCAGGTTCATTGGCCTGGGTGGAGGGATGGTGGGGTTCTTTTGATAAAACACATCACAAAAATCCATTGTGCAAACGTTATACTGTGATAATGGAAAGGAGCTCCCTGTTTGGGGATGACTGGTGCTTGGTGTCCAGCCGACATGGCTAAAGGAACACAAACTGGAAGAAGGAGGAATAGGGTTTGTCCAAGCCTCAGTTGGGGTTCATTCTCTGCCTTTGTCTCTTGGGTAGGGATGGGGTTGAAGAATAAGGAGATGGATAGACAATTCTTCTCTCTTTTAGGACAGGGGAATGGTGGAAAGCTCAATCTCTCACCACAGGGCAAGTGGGCTATATACCATGCAACTTTGTCGCCAAGTTGAACACACTGGAACAAGAGCCGTGAGTAGAAAGAACTGTTCTTCTCCATGCCCGTAGCCACAGACAAGCTGTGTTTTTAAGGGTATCAAAACAGGTAAACCTTGATTTACAACCATTCGTTTAGTGTCCGTTCAAAGTTACAATGGTGCTGAAAAATGTGACAACTGGTCCTTGCAATGTAGCATCATACAATTGTGTGATCATCGTTTGCAACCTTTTGTAGCCAGCTTTCGACAAGCAAAGTCAAGATCACATGGTGCCTTGCTTAACAACCAGGGCAAAACAGGTTGTAAAACCAGGTGTGATCACCTGATGCTTCATTTAACAATCACAGCACTTAACAACAAATCTTTGGGTTGTAATTATGGTTGTAAGTCAAGGACTGAGTGTAATGAGAAGAGGCTTAAATCTCAATCCAAATCATCCTTACTCCAGTTCAGGCCAGTGGTAAATTAATGTATTGATAAATCTGTCTAGCTGTTGATTGCATTTAGAAATTTTCATTTGTTTCAATTTTATTTTCGCAGCAGAAAATAAATGCTACTTACGCAGGTACACTACTAAAGGAATGCACGTGTTTTTGTGTGTGTTATATATTTTTTCTGTGGAATAAAAACTTGTGTGTCTGTTGTACTTTTCTTTTTTTTAAAAAATGTAGGCATTCACGCAAACATATACAATTGCTAAAGCCAACTCCTTCTCTGTCAGCTCAGCTCCTCTTCTCCATCCTGGTACCCAGTAAAAGGAGTTAAACATTCCTAATATGTAGTCCAACAATCTCAGTCTCAGCAACTTGAAGACCTGTGGACTTCAGCTCCCAGAAAGGGGAATTCTGGAAGCAACTGCAAGGGGTGGTCTTGCACCTTTGGAAGGCGCCAGTTTAGAGAGGACTGAGCCAGGCAGACCAAGGAAAGAAGAAAATGCTGTCAGAGACTATTTCATTGGTCCTGTGAATTTCTATTGTGGAACAAAGCAAATGAACAGATAATATGAGTAGACCCACAAAAGGGGGAAAATCTGCACATATCACAAGAACATGTGAACAAATGGATTCAGGAAACCAGCCTGACATCAATACCTGGGAAAATTCTGGAAAAGATAATCCAGCAACGAATCTGCGAACACCTACTGTAGAGGCAAACAAAGTCATAACCAAAAGCCATCGTTGGTTTGTGAAAAGCAGATCATGCCAGACAAATCTTATTGCATTTTTTGACAAAGTGACAAAATTAGTGGACCAGAGAAATGCTGTGGATATAATTTACTTGGACTTTAGTAAGGCCTTTGATAAAGTAGACCACAACCTACTACTTCATAAGATAGAAAAATGTGGATTAGACAGCATCACCACTGGATGGATTCATAACTAGCTGACCGACCGCACTCAACATGTAGTCCTCAATGGAACTTCATCTATGGAGGGAAGTATGCAGTGGGGTACCCCCAAGAGGCCCCATGCTCTTCAATATCTTCACGAATGATTTAGATGACTGGATAGATGGGGAACTCACCAAACTGGCAGGAATAGCTAACACTCCAGAAGACAGGCTTAAGATATGGAAGGATTTTGACAGACTTGAACATTGGGCCCTATCTAACAAAATGAAATTTAATGGTGAAAAAAGTAAGATTCTACATTTAGGCAAGAAAAACCAAAGGCGCAGATGTATATATAGGGGGTACCTGGCTCAATAGTAGTAATTTTGAGGGGGAATTTGGAGTCCTAAAGGACAATCACTTAAATATGAGCCAGCCGTGTGTTGCAGCTGTCCACCCGAATCATTTTGGTTGATGAGATTTGAGGGCATGTTGTGGATACCACAAGGGAAGTGGTCACAGGGACTTTAGTCTTTGTGGGAACCACACTGGAGGCCTGACTGCAAGATGTTCCACAGAAGCTATATTTGGAGAGTATTTAGAGGTTACACAAAAAACACAACCTCCATCTAACCAAAACTAACCAAAGAGAGAAGCAATCTAGAACTAAGGAGAAATTTCCTGACAGTTAGAACAATTAACCAGTGGAACAACCTGCTTCCAGAATCGGTGAATGCTCCAACACTGGAATTTTTTAAGAAGAGAGTAGACGATCACTTGTCTGAAATGGTATAGGGTTTCCTGCCTGAGCAGGGGGTTGGACTAGATGACCTCCAAGATCCCTTCCAACATTATATTTATTATTATTATTATTATTGTTGTTGTTGTTGTTGTTGTTGTTATTGTTGCTGTTGTTGTTGTTGTTATTGTTATTATCTTGATCCATCAGGATTGTGGTCTAGTCATCACTGACAAGTACAATTCCTTGGGGTGTTTACTTTCTGTGCTCTAAAGTTAAGATTTTTCTCAGGGTAAAATGTTCTCAACCTAGTTCTTCAGGTGTTCTTGTGTTTTACTCTTCACCACTGTAATTGAGTCCCTCCTTCTTGTTGCTGCTTGTCCTCTTCTTCTCCTTCTTTCCATCTTTCCCAACCATATGGACTTTCAAGAGAGCTGGGTATTCACCCAATATGCCCAAAATTTAACAATCCTTTGTGCCTCAAATGCAAAATCTGGGCTGCTTTGTTCAATGATCCATTGGCTTGTTTTCTTGGTTGTCCATGACAAAAATATAAAGGGCAAAATTTTCAGGATGAAAAGATATCTACTGGGCAAATGGTAAATGGTTTTGTTCTTAAGGTAGATGTGCTAATTTGGGAATGGTTTCTCAAGAAATAAAATATTTTGCCCTTTACATTTTCGGATTGTGTGACACTACAGTTCTCTTTTTTGTAAGCTCTCCCTTGTTCTTGTGGATCAATATAAATATATGAATTAAAATAGTATATTTTATAAGCTGTAGTGGAAATATTTACCGTACATCATTTTGGGAGTATTCATTTTGCAGAGTGGCCAAGAAAGGTTTCAAATTAAAATGTGGCCTTTTCTTCTGCAATAAACAATACCCTCACCTTGTTTCATTTTAAGTCAGAATAGCTGCGGTCGCTTGCTTAAAACTGTAGAACACACAATGGGCTGTGGATAGAACTCTGTGTGTTGTTTCTTGCAGTTGGTTTTTCAAAGCCCTCAGCAGGAAGGATGCTGAGCGCCGTCTTCTCAGTGCTGGTAACACACATGGTGCTTTCCTCCTTCGAGAGAGTGAATCCACCAAAGGTAATTTGTTTGTTGTTGTTAGTTGCGAAGTCGTGTCCGACCCATCACAACCCCATGTCCTCTACCATCTTCTGGAGTCCCTTGAAGCTCACGCCTCCTGCTTCAGGGACTCCATCCAGTCACCTCCTTCTCTGTCGTCCCCTTCTTCTCTTGCCCTCCATCTTTCCCAGCATTAGGCTCTTCTCCATTGAGTCCTTCCTTCTCATTAGGTGGCCAAAGTATTTGAGTTTCAACTTCAGGATCTGGCCTTCTAAAGAGCAGTCGGGGTTGATTTCCTCTAGGACTGACCGGTTGGATTGCCTTGCAGTCCAGGGGACTCACAGGAGTCTCCTCCAGCACCAGAATTCAAAGGCCTCCATTCTTTGGCGCTCAGATTTTCTTATGGTCCAACTTTCACAGCCATATATTAGGAAAATGACAAAAAGATTGGAGAGGGAAACTTAAAAGCAACTTTGAAAAAGGGTCATGATAACAGTCTTCCAACATTTGAGTGCTGTCACAGAGAACAGGGGGTCATCCTGTTCTCCAAAGTACATGAGGGCAGGACAAGGAGTAACTTGGTGGAAGCTTAACTATGGCCAAATTGTCATGGTCACCGCAATGCAGCTAATTCGCCGCAGCCAATTTGCCACAGCCAAGTCATCGCGGGACACCTTGCCATGACCAATTCGCCACAGGCCAGCTTGCTGCAGGACAATTCAACAATTCAATTTAATCATTTAAAATGTAATTATTTTGTCACTCGCATTTTGTTTTGTCCCTCCTTTGGCATCCTTTCTTTAAGGATTCTATTCCACCATTTCTTCAGTGTTAGTGTAATTCTTGTCCCACAGCGAGTTGGCCATGGCGAGTTGTGGTAGACCCTGTCAAAGGGAGATCCGACCTAGAATTGAGAAGAAATTTCCTGACAGCAAGAACAATTAATCAGTGGAATGGCTTGCCTCCAGACGTCATGGGTGTTCCATTAGTGAAAGTTTTTAAGAAGAGGTTGGACTGCCATTTGTCAGAAATGGTATAGGGCAGGGGTCTGCAACCTTGACAACTTTAAGACTTGTGGACTGGCTGAGGAATTCTGGGAGCTGAAGTCCACAAAATGTCATGGTTCTGACTAATGAAACACTTCAAAGAACTTCCAGGCAAGGTTTACCCTAAAAGCCTTTATTATCAGTGTAACAGATTGACGGCACTTTGCGTATGGTTTATGCCAGAATCTGAATTCCCCTTGCTTGCGTCTAACTTTTCTTGCTAAACCCCTCCCTTATTTTGCAGTCATAAATCACATCTTCCAATTAGCCCGGAGAGCATAGATTCATTCCTGTTCCTTTTCCGGCAGGCCTGCCCTGGAGTACCTGCGAGCAGGATAGCTTAAAGTTGACAACTTAAAGTTGTCGAGGTTGCAGACCCCTGATATAGGGTCTTTGGCTTGGACAGGGGATTGGACTAGAAAACCTCTAAGGCCCCTTCTCTTATTGTAGCTCTCTTCCTACAATACACATCAGTTTGGACCCCTCTTCACTCCCAAGGCCTTTCTTAACTGTCCCCCAAATTTCATATCATAGCTTTTGTGTGCAAAAATAAGAAAAAAAAATATTTAAAATGCATGCCTTTGAATGTAGCTCTCTTCCTACAATACACATTTAGTTGAACCCCTCTTAACTCCCAAGTCCTTTTTTTACCTGTCCCAGCCAGGAAGGAAGCATTTTGGGGAAGGAAAGCGATGCCTGCCTCACTTGCTCTGAGAAAGGGACAGAAAAGTAACCTCCTTCTGTTTCTCCCCAGGCTCCTTCTCCCTCTCTGTGCGAGATTTTGACCAGAACCAAGGAGAAGTTGTGAAGCACTATAAGATACGAAATATGGACAACGGCGGGTTCTACATCTCTCCTCGTATCACCTTTGACAGCTTGCACAGCCTGGTAGAACATTATATCAGTAAGGCTAAAGACACTGCTGGAGCCTCTTTTGGGTGGAACTGGGCTGTCCACTCTTCTCATAGAAGGAGAGTTTGGGTCCCCCAACGCCAAGGATACTAATGTAAGGGCTGTCAGGTGTCATGTGATTCCTGTGGTTTTAGCACCTAATGCACTAACATAGTCGCTGTCCTGGAATTTGCACCATCCAGGGCAGTGTTTCTCAACCTCAGCAACTTTGAGATGTATGGACTTCAGTTGAGAAGCACCATTCTAGAAGATGCTTTTTGAGTTGTAAAAATGGCTCCACAGATGAGAAGTTGCCCTTTCTGGGGATAGGGAGATGTTCTTGATGACCTTCCATGCCTCTCCGCTCCTTGTGAAGCTCCAATGCTATGTGCAGACGTGGTCCAGGGCCATCCCTTTGGCCTACTTACTCTTTTCCTTTGCATCATCAGATAATGCGGATGGGCTTTGCACCCGCCTAACCAAGCCCTGCCAAACTCAGAAGCCACAGAAGCCCTGGTGGCAGGATGAGTGGGAAGTGCCCCGGGAGAGCCTGAAGCTGGTGGAGAAACTGGGAGCAGGGCAATTTGGTGAAGTTTGGATGGGTAAGTGGAGTGTGGATTCATTCATACTCTGCTCAGTCATGACTTTCAGCAATTCAAGAAGCTATACTTTTATTAGAAAAGACTGTTGTTATTATTATTATTACTACTACTATTACCATTTTATCCCATCTTTATTCTTTGTATATCCTTCTATGTAATCCTTCTTCGTCCTATTTTCCCCATAACATCAACCCTGTGATGTGATGTGGGGCTGAGAGAGAGTGACTGGTCCAAAGTCATCCAGCTGGCTTTTGTGCCTAAGGCACAGTGGTGGGATTCAGCCAATTTGGATCCCTTCGGGTAGAACTGGTAACTAATTTTTTGTTGCCCAGGCCCAGAATGGACTTCCGGAAGTGGCATCTACACAGAGAACCGGTTGTTCACCTATTTGAATCCCACTACTGCTAAGGCGGGACTAGAACTCACCATTTCCTAGTGATTGGCCCAAAGCCACCCAGCCGATTTTCAAATCTAAAGCAGGACTAGAACTCACTGTCTTCTGTTGGTTGGCCCAAAGTTACCCAGTCAGCTTTGGTGCCTAAGGAGGGACTAGAACTCACCACCTCCTGGTGATTGGCCCAAATTCACCCAGCTGGCTTTGATGCCTAAGGCAGGACTAGAACTCTCCATCTCCTGGTTCCTAGCCTGGTGCCTTAACCAGTGAACCAAACTGGCTCTCATGATAGCAAAGATTAGTTTAGAATGAAGCCGTCTATACTTCCTGATATTTTTTCAATTGACAATAAAGAACTTCATGCAGGTGTTTAATATCCAATTTTACCCACCAAATGTCATTGTCTTAATTGTCTGCTCTTTAAAAAATTACTGAAGTAATTTTACATAGTGATGAAGTAGGATTTTTAGTATGGATCAGCTTTGCTGCTGAGCTTTTAATTTAGTTTCTGTCACAGTACTGTATGTAAACATTAGCATTTGCTCTTTCCTGCAGCCTGAACTGCCACAAATTGTTTGTGGCAGGAAATGACTGCTGAAAAACAGTGGTTGTCTTGGCATCACAATGTGAACCAGATCAGTTGCAAACTCGGAGGCCACATTTGCAGAACGTGCTCGGCTTGGTTAGCTTCAGTCTCAGCTAGCTTCTTCATGGCTTGTGTGAATCCAACTCACTTGATTGCTGCATGTAACAAGACATTGTGCAGATTCAGGAAATGCGTTAATTTCATAACCAAGTGAAATATGTTGTATGAATACAGCTACTGGGTTCAAAGAGGCGCGAAGGGCTCAAGACTCGTTGTGTCCTCTGAACAGAGGCATCCACGTATTTGTGTGCTGAAAAAGTTAAGATGGCAATCACAATCACACAACTGAAGTCCTGCTCTGTGTTTACATACATGAAGAAAAATGCAGGGCTTCAGTTTATTTATTTATTTATTTATTTATTTATGAGACTTATATACCGCTTTAAGTACAAGCACTCTCTAAGCGGTGTACACCAGTAAGCAATGTATATACATATATATTTACATTGCCCCCAACAATCTGGGTCCTCATTTTACCTACCCTGGAAGGATAGAAGGCTGAGTCAACCTTGAGCCGGTGAGATTTGAACCGCTGACCTGCTGAACACAGTTAGCTAAAGTGGCCTGCAGTACTGCACTCTAACTGCTGCGTTGTTATGTTATGTTGTTGTGTGGTCCTGGCCACACCAAAGTGGCCCTCAAGAGTTTGACACAAGGCAGCATGTCGTCTGAAGCTTTTCTGACCCCCCTTTCCCCACAGAGAGGCTTGCTGCTAGATCAAAATGGTGGAGAGGCTGTTTTGATGACCAGGAGGGCTTCCCCTTCAACTGTAGGATTATGTCCAGTGATGGGGAAATCAGGCTTAGCCCTGGACCCATATCTTCCCTCTCTCCCTCCACAGGCTACTATAATGGACACACCAAAGTGGCCATCAAGAGTTTGAAACAAGGCAGCATGTCGCCTGAAGCTTTCCTGGCTGAAGCCAACCTGATGAAGAAACTGCGCCATGCACGCCTGGTGAGGCTGTACGCAGTGGTGACTCAAAGGCCCATGTTCATCATTACAGAGTACATGGAAAAAGGTGCGCTTCTGAGGATGTTTCCTCACATTTCACCTGGATGAAGTCTGGTCCTGACTTGGAAGAGGGAAATTTTGCAGGTTTATTCTGATTCTATTAGGTTTTATTTTCTAAATGTGTTCCACATTTCATATTTTTTTCTAGGGAAAGTTCTCCTCTTCTCTCCCCTCCCCTCCCCTCCTTGGAGTCCTTTCAATATGTTGACTCAGCCTTCCATTCAAAGATCATAAAAAGTGTTCCTTTCTGGGCTCTGTTCTTCACCAAGGTGGCTGGGTTTGAGGGAGCGAAAGCTAGCGTGATCAAGAAGATACATAAGGCGTATATAAAAGGAAATTATTAGTGCAAATTGCAGCAATTTATATCCATTTCAGGATATGAAAGGTCTTCCTAATGGTGAGAGCTCCATATGACAATGGAGCAGCCTACTTAGAGTCTTTGGGTTCTCTATCTCTGGAGGTTTTTAAGAAGAAGCTGGAGATCCATCTCCACTGGATGGCTTAAATAGTTTTCCTATATTCTGCAGAGGGTTGGACCAAATAATCCTTGGGGTGTCTTCCTGCTCTATGGTTCTTTCACTCTAGGATCCTAAAAACCAAAAAATATTATCAGAGTCTTTGGATGAAAAGTAGGAGATAACTGCAGATTTCAGAATAGCTTGTCTGGGGATGTGATAGTTATTCACCTCTAGGGCAGTGTTTGTCAACTTGGGCAACTTTAAGCTGTTGTGGGCTTCAATTGAAGTCCAGATACCTTAAAGTTGCTGCAGTTGACAAACACTGCCCTAAGGGGCTTTCCTTCAGGGCTGAATTAAAGTGTTTGCCACCAGTCCTTGAGCTGACTATATTATTATAATATAGAGTACGTACATAAAGTTTCTTCCCCCACTGCTGATTCCTATCCTGCTGAAGCTGCCAATGGCAGTGTCTTTATTTACTGTCTGCGGCTTTTAAAGGAAAGAGATAGATAGACCCTTCCATCCTTATTTCCCTTCTCTCCTATCAAATATGGAAGCTAAGATGAAATCATCTCTCCAATTACTTTCCTTCACAAAGGTGTAGCCATGGAGGAAACCAGTTGTGACAGATGCATAGATATGTCTGGACATCTAACTCTTGCTCGGAGCATTCACACCTGCTTTGTTGGAGGTGTTCACCTGCTTTAAACCCAAGCGTAGGGCCTGTCTGGAGAAGTGCTAAACCAAGGGTAGGCAACCTTGGCTCTTTTATGACTCGTGGACTTCAACTCCCAGAATTCCTGAGCCATAAGGGTCATAAGGGTCAAAAACAGCCATAAGTCACTTTCTTCATTGCCATTGTAACTTCGAATGGTCACTAAATGAACGGTTGCAAGTTGAGGACTACCTGTAGTCTATTATTCCCCCTGCTCTTTCAGAGCCAACCAAGTTATTTTGCAGAGTTCCCTTTGCTCTAGATAGTTGGCCTTGGGAGAGACCTTGCATGACTTGGCACAAGGCAGTGGAGAAAAGGAAGGAAATGAAAGGCTCTGGCAATTTAGCTCTCTACAAAAGGAGCAAAGCCTGCCAGATACAAAAATAGTTGAGGGATCTGGGAGGTGTTTCCTGCCAGCTATTCTCTCCATCTTCACGAGGCTGCAGCAAAGCTAGGCTCCCTCCAGCCCTGAATTAGCCATCAGGCAGAAGCACAACATGCTTAAGGGAAGGGAGGCACCACGGAGTACCCGCCTCCAGCTATCCGGCCATTAACTCTCTCCTGGCCACAGTTAGCATTCAGCCTCCAAGGAGTCTTAACGTCTTGTCAATTAAGCCATGGAACAGCCAAACGGCATCACTGCTTAGGATACCAATTGACCTTCATCCAACTCTGGACTCTTCTTTCTCTGGATCAAGCTAGTGGTGGGCTCTTGTATTTGAACTTTATAGTGCACCAACAGTAGCCCATTCCCTCTTCCATCCCAAAGCCAAAGACGTTCTGCATGTTTGACACCAACCCAGAGATTGATGTACAGAACAGTAGACAGAATCCACATGGCGGACCACAATGGAGGAATGGTTGGTGAGGATGATGAAGCTTGCAAAGATGGCTAAATTGACTTCCTTGGTTAGAGAGAAAAAAAATCTACATTTATGGCTGACAAGAAAACCCTTAGAGACTTTTTGTGGGAAACAAAGTTGATTTTAATGATTAGAAAAAAAGATAATAGAAAATAGAGCTTATAGCTCTTGTAAGCATTACTAATTTTGTATTTGTGTACTTATAACTGAAGAGGCACTGAGCATATTTTGACTGATGATTTCCCCTTCTTCCTTCTAGGCAACCTGGTAGATTTTCTCAAAGCTGCAGAAGGCACTAAATTAACAATTTATAAACTGCTAGACATGTCAGCACAGGTACGAACAAAATAATATAATGGGATGAGAAGATATAAGCAGACAGGATGGCTGAGAAGGAACAAACAGTGAAAATGCCTTTTATTGGGGCAGGGTGTGTGTGTTAATGGGTAGAAAACTTATTTTTAGGCATGAAAATAAATGGTAGGAACAGCTTCTGCTGAACCAGGGAATTTAGCTGGCTGTAGCTAGAATCTCTCCAAAACAACAGTCCCACAAGATCCTTAAAAAGAGATCTAGCCTAGAAGTAAGGAGAAACTTTCTGACAGTGAGGAAAATTAATCCATGGAACAACTTGCCTCCAGAACTATCACTGGAGGTTTCTAACAAGAGATTGGAAAGCCATTTGACTGGAATGGCATGAGGCTCCTGCCTTGAGCAGGGGATTGGACTAGAAGACCTCTGAAGACCACCCAGCCTTATGATTCTATGTTCTACGGTATGGTGTGTGCATTATTCATTTTCATTTCTGGGGTTGGCCAAAAGCCTTGACTTTTCCAGGGAGCGTTTGCTGTTTCCTTAAGGACAAGGCAAGCATATCCACCTAGTGATCTCCAGGCTAAGCAATTATCCAATTCAGTTTGTTAATTGAAGAAAGCAGTCTGGAACAAGAGTGTCCTGAGAATCAGAAAGGCTGCAGGTTAAAACAAAAACAGGCTCTGGTGCCTACCTTGGAGCAAAAGAAAGAGGGAGGAGGAGGAGGATTCAGGGGTATGTATGTATGTATGTATGTATGTGTGTGTGTGTGTGTGTGTATGTGTGTATGTATGTGTATATAAATAAATGCTAAGATGTTTTTTCAGCCTGTTTTACAGCAGGATGGTTGTGAGGATGCATGGGAAAGGGAGTTACACTTGACCTGAATGCTTGGGAGGAAAGCTAGGGTGGAAATGCAGCACAAAAGTGTGTGATGTGTGTCTCTCCTCTTTGCCCACCAAGATAGCAGAAGGAATGGCCTTCCTGGAGAAGAAAAACTATATCCATCGTGACCTGCGGGCTGCCAATATCCTGGTGTCGGAAAGCCTCTGCTGCAAGATTGCAGATTTTGGGCTGGCCCGCCTTATGAAGGACGATGAATACACTGCTCAAGAGGGTGGGTCTCTTCTGCCCCCTTGGCCCTGCCCAGCAAGCAAAACTTCTTCCTCCTTTGGGGAGGGGATGGGGAGGACTGCACGGAGGGTGTCAAAAAATTCAAAATGGCAGCTTCAAACACCCAATCCACTTTTACGTGTGGGGTGCAATGCATGTCAAAAGGAGAGGGGGGGGGGCTTTGATTGTGCATTCAAACTTTCTTAATCTTTTCTTTTTTTAACTCCCTTAGAAACACTCTTGCTATGACTTCATTCTTCTGAATGGGCAGATCAGGGTCCATGAATTATTCTGAAGATGGAATTGGGGTGTGGGAGGGAAGGAGTTAGGACAGATGGCCTTATGCATAGGTACTATGCACACTGATTCCAAAAGTGTTTCTCAACCCTGGCCACTTTAAACTGTGTGGACCTCAACTCCCAGAATTCTGGAATTGAAGCCCACGCAGCTTAAAATGGCCAAGGGTGAAAAACACGGGACCACAATTGATCCTTAGAATGCAGGTGTGTGATGCACACCCAAGCTAGGCTAAAGGGTCAGAATCCTTTCTCCCGATAGGAAAACTGCCCCACTGTTTTAGAGCTGCAGCTGGGGTCTCCAAACTTGACCCTTTTATGACTTGTGGACTTCAACTCCCAGAATTCCTCAGCCAGGCACACTGGCTGAGGAATTCTGGGAGTTGAAGTCCACGAGTCATAAAAGGGCCAAGTTTGGAGCCCCCTGCTCCAACCCGTCTCCTGAGAAAGTTGTAGCCCACCAGCTTTGCGCTGTGCAACAGCCAGGAAAAGCCATGAGAGATAAAGCTGTCTGCAACCCTGGTAGGATGGAATTTGTGATTTTGAGTGCAGATCCTTGCACGCTGTGAGCCCCTGTTTTTCAACCTCAGCAGCTTTAGGAGGAGGGTGCCTCAATTCCTAGAATTTTAAAATATTTTAAAGACCGCAGTGATTCTGCGGAATTCTGAGGCATTTTATTTAATTTGTACCCTACCTTTATTATTTTTACAAATAAGTCAAGGCGGTGTACATATCCAACATACCTTCCGCCTCCTGTTTTCCCCACAATAACCCTGTGAGGTGGGTTGGGCTGAAAGGGAGTGACTGGCCCAAAGTCAGACGTGTCAAGGATGACTGAAGGTCCAGGAACAGGAAAATTCTCTGTAAAGTGCTGGTCATTAGTCTGATTTTTACAGATGAGGAACCCTTCTAAGGATGTGTACATCAAGGACATGCGGCATGAAATGCTGGCATTCCAGAGTGTGCAGCTCCTTCTTGTGGTCGATGCAATGAAATTTACTAGTTTTCTTCTTGGGGAAAATTAGCCTTTTTTTTTCAGCCTTCCAACTCTCCCGATTGGCTGAAACTCAGTTTCTGAATTTACAACCCGCACAGCTAAGGGAGTTCTGGGAACTGAAATCCAGAGGAAACAGGTGGGTCTAACTTTGCATCAAGATACCATTCTTACCCTCTTAAGATTTCTTCCTTCAGGAGCAAAGTTTCCAATTAAATGGACAGCCCCCGAGGCCATCAATTATGGAACATTCACCATCAAATCAGATGTCTGGTCATTTGGGATTCTACTGACTGAGATCATCACTTATGGCCGGATCCCTTACCCAGGTCAGTAAGTAGCAATCTATTTCCATTTGTGATCCATACAAAATATGGTTGCATTTGTCTCAAATTTCCTCCTTCTGTTATATATTCAAGATGGACAGTATTTAATATTTATTTGTTATGTATATGTAGGGGTGTGGGTCTATACCAGGGGTAGGCAACCTTGGCTCTTTTATGACTCGTGGACTTCAACTCCCAGAATTCCTAACTGGCTCAGGAATTCTGGGAATAGAAGTCCACGAGTCATAAAAGAGCCAAGGTTGCCTACCCCTGATCTATACATATGTTGTACATAGTATATTTAAGCGTGTGTCATGTATGTGTTTCACTTTGAGAGCGGGCAACTAAATTTCATTTTTGATGTGTGCCGTTGTGCCCACAGCAAAAAAATGATAATAAAGGTTATCTATCTATCTATCTATCTATCTATCTATCTATCTATCTATCTATCTATCTATCTATCTATGGCAAAGTTTCTCAAACTTGGCAGCTTTAAGATTTGTGGACTTCAACTTCCAAAATTCCTTAGCCGGCCATAGTTGCTGGATGATTCTGCAAGCTGAAGTCCACGCATCTTAATTGCTCAGCCTAGGAGGAGCATCGCCATATCTTTTGGGGGGGTGCTTTGTGTTGCATCCTTTACGGAGGGAATTGCCCCACCTGGACCCCATCCCCCTTCTCACTTGCTGCTTCTCTTCTGGCTCCAGGAATGAGCAATCCAGAAGTCATCCAAAACCTGGAACGAGGGTACCGGATGCCGCAGCCGGACAACTGTCCAGAAGAGCTGTACAAACTGATGCTGCAATGTTGGAGGGATAACCCAGAGCAACGGCCCACTTTTGAGTTCCTAAAAGGGGTCCTGGAGGACTTTTTCACTGCCACGGAAGGACAGTATGAGCAGCAGGTGTAAAGTTGGCCTCAAGCCAGGATCCATGGTACACTGTTCTCGCAACCAACAGAAAAGATGCTCTTTTGAAGACTTCGCCCTGCATCCAAGATGGCGGCGGGGGGGGGGTAGGATGGAGAAGAAGGGCTTATTGGGACCCCAATGATTTCCTGAGTTCCTGATCCCCGGCAAACTTCCCCCTTTTTTCAAAAGGAAAAGAAAACCAACATTCAAAGGTGCCCGGAAGAACTGAGACGGAGAGTTCTCGCACATGCTCAGCAGGCCAAGCCTTTTTTTATTATTATCATCACTTTTTGCTTCAGCTGCTCTGTAGAAGGCACATGCACCTGGTATACCGTAGCTAGTCTCGGCTTATGACCGTGCTGAACCTGGCAATTGCGGTTGTGACAGTCGTAAAGCAAATGACCAGACCTGTTTTTACGGCCTATTTTGCAGCGGCCTTAAAGCAAAAACTGGTCATTAAGCGAATCTATTTTTTGCTACGGGGCAGTTTTTTCCAGAAATTTAAAGTAAAATCCTGGTTTCCAACAAAACCATTGTAAATGGAGGTCATGTGTCTTTGAGGGAGGGGCAGCATCAGAACTTCAAATCTAAGTCATAAGTAGCTTTGGGGAGGGAGTCTTTTGTAACTTTGAGTGGTCACTAAGAGACCAGTTGTAAGTTGAGGACTAGCTGTACAAATAAAGAAGCACTGGAAGGCTGTTTCTTAAGGCAACGGTCCTTGAGGACATTGGCTTTTCTGGAACCAGGTGTGGAAGCTGAACAAAGGCAATAGAAAGTGATTCTGGGATGTGGTCAAAAAGCTCAAGAGGGTGGTCACAATTGCTGTCGAAGCTCTGCCTTTATTTTTGTGGTGAGGGCTTAGCTTGCACCATTGTGGCTGCCATTTTGACTTTTTCTGACCACACCTTGGATCTGACAAAGAGAAGAAAGGAAGGTGGAGGAGGAAGGAAGGTGATTTACAGGTTCCTCTAAGAGAGGTTATTTTTAAACCATTGTTTCTTGAACAAGCCATAATAACTTGGGTTCACACATGACCTTAAACCGTGGCACAGGTAGGAAATTGTATCATTTGATCTGGTCTATATGAACACAAGCTTAATACATATAAGTTATACATGCAAAATTCTGTGTTTTCAATTGTATGATGGATTTTGATTTAGTTTAAAATTCCAAACGAGGTTTTTTTTTTTTTTTCAAAAGAACAAAACGTGCAGTAAATTTATTCAGGATGTGTCAGAAAACAGCGCAAGGAGCAGGGGAAGGCAACGAGTGAAACTTCAACTTGCTAAATCAAATTGAATCTTCCAAAAAACTTTGATGCGGAATGTGTGCGAATTTTAAAAAAGGCGCAGCGCAGTTTTGAAAAGCCGAAGATGTTAATGTTTCCCGTTGCTTTCTCGGGGGAGGGGGGTTCAACCAGAGGAATGTCTCCCCTCCAGGTGAAAATGGTACCAGCCCATCCTAAATACACCCCTGTATCTCTCCTCCCGCAACAGTGGTACGGTCGAAGCAACTCCTCGCTGCTCGATCTAACTTGTTGTCGCGAAAGGCTCCGCCCCTTCGGACTCCCCATTGGCCTTGAGAGAGATCCCTCCACTTGTGATAGGCTGGCGGGAGGGGAAGGGGTCTCGGAGGGCCGCCCTCTCCTCCCTTGCCCTGGCGGGCTCGGTTGCGTGGCGGGACTCGGGTCCAGACTGAGGCGCCGTCGGGACGCGGCGCGGCGGCGGCGGCGGCGGGGGAAAATGGCGCTGACTCAGGGGACCAAGCGGAAAGTCTGCTACTATTACGACGGTGAGTGAGGGTCTCCGCGTTTGGAGGGCGGGGCTTAGGGAGGAAGAGGAGGGACCGGGGGGGGAAGAGGGAGGCTTGGGAGGGGGCGGTCGGAGGAGGGGGACTACACCTCCCATCATCCACAGCGCCTCCGGGACTGCTGCTGCGTCTCCTCCTCAAGCACCGGAGCGGCCAGCTGCTTCGGGAGTTGTCATCTTCCCCGAGCGGGCGAGCCTTGCCTGCCTGGACTCCATCTCCCATGCTTCCCAGTCGGAGGCGGACCAGGATGCGGTGGGGGGGGAGGGGAGGGGAGGGGAGGGGAAAGCCGGCTTGGGGAGACGGGCAGGCGGGTGACCGTGGGGAAAGGGGGGGGGAAGAAAAGAGTCTGATGGAGGGCGGAGCTCTCGGCACAACAGCCCTGAGAGGTCGGACAGGCTGAGCGTCGGAGGGAGGGGCGCCCTGCCCCGCTCCAGTGCCCCCCCCCAATTACTTGTGGACCTGAAGATTGGCGGGCTTGGCAAAAGCCTGGCGAAGCCGGCCAGGATTTGCACCCTCGCCTGGCAGGTGGAAGGGAGTGGAAGGCGGGCCCGCTGGCTGTCGATCGTGCAGGTGTTCGCGGCTGAGGCTGGCCGGCGTGAGTGAGTGAAGCCCTGGGCTGCGGGGAAAGTTCTGCAAGCGCCTCTTCATGCAAGGGAGACTTGGGGCAGGGATGTCGGGGGGGGGGGTGGTGGTGGAAGGGAAGAGGGTCATGAGGCAGTGGGGAAGAAGCCTCAAGAGCAGGGGTCTTCAAATTGGCGCTTTTAGGACTTGTGGACTTCAACTCCCAGAATTCCTCAGCCAGGCATGCGGGCTGAGGAATTCTGGGAGTTGAAGTCCACAAGTCTTAAAAGGGCCAAGTTTGAAGACCCCTGGTATAGGGTCTTCTGCTTGGACAGGGGATTGGAGTAGAAGACCTGTTGGGTGGGCTACAACTTTCTCAGGAGACAGGCTGGAGCAGGGGTCTGCAAACTTGGTCCTTTTAGGACTTGTGGACTTCAACTCCCAGAATTCCTCAGCCAGCGTGCCTGGCTGAGGAATTCTGGGAGTTGAAGTCCACAAGCAGGGGTCTTCCAACTTAGCCCTTTTAGGACTTGTGGCCTTCAATTCCCAGAATTCCTCAGCCAGGCACGCTAGCTGAGGAATTCTGGGAGTTGAAGTCCACAAGTCCTAAAAGGGCCAAGTGTGAAGACCCCTGCTCTAGAGGGGGCCCTGATGTAAGGAGGGGAACTGCCCAGTTGCAGCGATCCGATCAGGCTTCCGTCAGAAGAAAAACATCCCTCAGTCTGGAGTTTTCTTCCCCCACGAAGGAAGACGGTTGATTTTAAGTGTAGGGAATTCTTATCCCAGTTTTATCTGGGCTCTGTCCTTTCTCTCCAGCAGCAGCAACCTTGTAGGATGTGGATTTCCGTTTGATATTTCTCAGGATTATTCTTTGGGCACGTGGTGAAGTAGATAGATCCGTAAATGCTTATATGAAAAGAAATGACTTGGCATTTAATATGCAGCCCACCATAGCCTTGGAGGGCAGGCTAGGCCTGACATGAGAGAGCCTAGTGGCCCCGAGTAATTTTCATGGCTGATTTGAAGGGAGGATCCAACACGGACTGCTTACCAAGCCGCTGTAAGCATGTAGGAGCTCTTCTGTTTGCAGGCTCAGGATGTGAAGAGGGAGGGAGCCAGGGCAGCCATTGAGAGGAGGAGCGCTGGGTGGGATGTTTCAAGAAGCCAAGGGGCAGCTGGTAGCATGTTGTTGGTAGGGAATGAGATGGAGTAGTGCTCTCCAAGAGGATTGGAAAACCATCTGGAGGTTTAGCAGGGCTGAAAAAGTGAGGAGGGAGCTGGGCCTTGGGCAGAGGAGGAAGTTGGTAGGAAATGGAGGAAAGCTTGTTGGTTTTACCGTTGTGGCCAAATCCTAGAAGGCTCCTTTTAAGTTCCAGGGACCATTGTCCTACTCCTAGTCTTGGGCCTGTGGTAATTGCGTGTGTGTGTGTGTGTGTGTAAGCTTTGTGTTCTCATCCAGTTTTCTGGATGAGAAGAGGTCTGAGTTGGACTCTAGGGCTTTCCCAGCTTAAGCTAAATTCTGACTTTAGCGAACTCCTTTCTCTGCCCTGTCCTCTCTGGCCTCAGAGCTGAAGATATTTCTCCTTGGAAAAAGACTCCTGGTTCTTTCTCAGGCCACATATTTCCTGTTGTCACCAAAGCAATCCCTATTTCCCATGTTAGCCTGGGAAAGTTGGCGTGTTTCTACAAGGGGAATTGGCTTGCTGGGAATCCCTTCTTCATCTCAGCCTTCATGCATAGAGTTTTCCAAGAGATGCTGGGGCCTTGTTTGCCAGGAAGGCTGGCTATTTTCCAGGGCAAATAGGTAGTCACACAGTTGACATTTGCTTCAGGCTATCTGCTTCTTAGGACCCAAAGCAGCTTGCAACTTTTCTGTGTCTCCAGGAGGAGGTTCTCAATTGGACCAAAGGTCCATCTAGAGTAGGGATAGTCATCCTATAGAGGTTTAAAAGCAATGAGTGGTTTTCTGGCTTTTGGGTAGGAAATGTTTGAAAACGATAACGTAAACTCTAAAATAGGATCTCTGTTTTTCTGTGTGTAGGTATAAATAAATAACTGTAAGAGCAAGGAACCCAATCCAAAGCTCTTTTCAAAAATCTGTATATTGTGGTTCCATCTATGATTATGATATGGCCCTGTAATACAGGTAGTCCTCAGCTTATGACCATAATGGAGCCTGCCCATTATGGTTGTGATACCCATCCTGTGATGGAGCCATTTTATAACCTTTTTTGCAGCAATTGTTGAGCCTATTTTTTGGCTACGGAGTGGTTTTGCAGAAAATGGAGAAGTAAATGCCAATTTTTGGCAGAATGTCATAAAACATGGTCATATGACTGCAGGACGCTAAATGTGGGCCACTTGCCAAGTGCCCCAAATGTGGTCACAAGAGTCGGGGGTTGATCACCATAACTTTGGAACCGGGTCCTAATTACCCCTGGGTATGACACTAAGCGGCTGGTCATAAGTTACATATGTGTAAGTCAAGTAATCCAGGCATTTACTGTATATGGTGGCCCATTCCAGACTTAAAGACTTTTTCATGCGAGAGCTCTGTGCCAGTTTGAAAACAGCTCCAGACCAATACGATCCCACATCACCTCTGCTCAGCAGCAGAACTGATTTATTTTTGTCTTAGCAGCATTCTACTTGAAACCACAGACGAATTCTATTTACTTGTTTATGGAAGTACTGGGACTTAGTGAACCTCGGTGGTGGATTTCCCTATTAGTTGGCTGACTCTTTCCCTGCTCCTGGCTCTGGCAGGGCAGAGCTGGCTTGGTGGCTTCACAGATCCCTCTCTGTAGGATCCCTTTGGATTTTTTGCCCTTGACCAGAAGGATGCAAAGCCTGTGCAATAAGGATGTGTGTTTGTGTGTACAGTACACTAATTGATTTTATTTTCCTTTCTCTTTAGTGGCGTCAGGGATTTTGTTGCTGCAGAAGTAGTATGTTGATTTTCCCCACTCCTTGTTCTAAATCATTGTTTCTCAACCTTGACCATTTTAAGGCATGTGGACTTCAACTCCCAGAATTCCACAGCCAGCATTGCTGGCTGTGGAATTCTGGGAGTTGAAGTCCACATGCCTTAAAATAGTCAAGGTTGAGAAACACTGTTCTAAATGTTGTGAGGCAAACAGCAGTGAGGAGAGTGACAGAGGGTTTTTGATTGCCTCTTGAAAGAGTAAGGTAACGTTTCTCAAACTTGGCAACTTTAAGATGTGTGGATTTCAATTCCCACAATTAATGGCTGGCTGGGGAATTCTGGGAGTTGAAGTCCACGCAACTTGAAGTTGTCAAGCTTGAAAAATATTGAATTAGGGTGTGAAAGTGGCCCTACAGTTGGGCCACCCATCTATCTCTGGCACAGAGGGCTTTGCTTAGCGTACTTAGCACTCTTTTACAACTTACGACCATTTGTTTAACAGCCATTCAAAGTCACAACAGTAACTGAGAAAAAGTGCTTATAATCAGCCTTGAACTTATGATTGGTCCTTGCAGCCTCCCCGCTGTCATGTGAATTTTCGCTTGCAAGCTTCCCAAGGGGGTTTTGACAAGTAAAGTCAGTGGGAGAAGACAAATTTGCTTAAGGACCACACAATTTATGTAATGATCACTGTTAAAAAGGTTGTAACTTATAACTTATAAGGTTGTAACTTATTTGATGAGTGCATTGTTTAGTGACAGAAATTCCGGTCCCAACTATAGTTGAAAGTTGAGGACTGCCTGTACCCTCTTCCACTCAGAAGTACATTGCTAACTCAGTTCTCCAACTGAAGGACTCTCTAGAGCTGTGGACTTCTTCCAAGATTCTCAGCAGTGGCTGTATCGGCTGTGGAGTGAGTTTTGGATGGTCTGGAAGCTTTAAAAAATACCCTGTGTGTTTCATTTATACTGTCTCTTTTGGAATGGAGTGAGGTTTTCTCATAAAATGAGGGAGGGTTCAACCTGCTTAGTATTTTGATGGAGATGACCAAAAGATCCAAGGTTTATAGTTTCCAGTGGGGAGGTCAAAAGAGGTTCTTGAAAGAAACATTGACAAATGACTATTGTTGTTGCCAAGAAAATAGCATGGAGATTTCCTTGAAATTCAGTAGAGCTGAGTCCAACTTAAGGAATTCTTTACAGGTTTACAGCTGCAACAGGAAGCTGATGCCGGCCACTGCTTATTATTGACAAAGTCATATTGTATGGAAGTGTTATGTGTTGGGGTCCGTCCCAATCCTCTTGCCAAATTCTTATATTCCTGGCACAGGAGTGGCCAAAATGGTGGAAACCTTTTGAGAAAAGTGTATTTTTGAGGTTTGATGGCTAATAACACCACTTTTGGGGGGGAGTAGTACCATAAAATTATATATCAATGGAAATATAATTTAATCAAGAATGTAATGCAACATAGTTTGTTCAATTATGTACTGTATTCTATGAAAAGTTATAGCCAAATAACCAGAAAAAGGAAACACAGGTTCCTTAGGTTCATCCCAGGTAGCTTTCCTTCATCTGATCGTAGCCAATGAGCATGAGTGTTTAGAGAGCCAATCAGGTGTCATCTTGTTTTGCCAATGAGCCAATCAGATCACAGTAGGATTCCATTATTGATGCCATGTATTGAAGCTGAGAGGAGGACGTTTGTCAGTGTGTTAGGGGATCGCTATCAAGTTGGTTGGTTTTTTGTCTCTTTCATTTAGTGAGCTTGTAAAACATAATAAAATTAAAGTAAGGAGATGTCTGCAAGAAAACAGTCAAGCTGAAGAGCACCGAGGGTTCCACAGTTCATCCCTTTTATTGGAACAGACCCTTTAACTCAAAACTCCTGTATTTCTCCCTCCCCTCCTTGTGACGTCCATTCTTAAATGCCTTTCTAACATTTTATACGGTTGGCATTGTAATGATGATGTACTCCCCTCCCCCCCTCTTTTCTTTGCCTCTTAGGGGACATTGGAAACTATTATTATGGTCAAGGTCACCCCATGAAGCCTCACAGAATCAGGATGACTCACAACCTTCTTCTCAACTATGGTCTTTACAGGAAAATGGAAATCTATGTAAGTTTTTTTTTTTAAAACTGAACATTAAATTCTTCACCCAACGTTACTGACTAGGTCATAAAAGAGCCAAGGTTGCCTACCCCTGGACTAGGTCCTGTAGCTCAGGAAGAAGGAGAGCTACTGCAAGGGAGGGCTTCACACACGCGCACACACACACACACACACACACACACACACACACACACACACACACACACCCCAGCTGGTCCAGAGGATGCTTTGTTTGACAGCATCCAGGAGTCTTGCCACATTCAGTCAGAGAAGAAAGTTGCATTGCCCTTATTCCGGTCCTGCTGGAGGCAGCGATCCCGAAGGACCAGTGGGTTTTGCTGACTCCTGACTGGGAGGGCTCCTGATCGTCTCTTTCTTTGAGGCCGTTTGCAGCTGCTGCTCCGGCGCCCTTTTCAAGAGCCTCAACAGAGTCAGAGCTATGCCTGAACAAGGTTCAGCAGTGGCGGCCTTCCCAAGTTGTCCTCCCTTCTGTCATTCCAGCGACCTTACAAAGCAAGTGCTGAGGAGATGACCAAATACCACAGCGACGATTACATCAAATTTCTGCGGTCCATTCGCCCAGATAACATGTCTGAATACAGCAAGCAGATGCAGCGATGTGAGTGAAGGCGGAGGGTGTTATGTTTGCTTGGAGAGCCTCAGACGTGCTTGGCTAAAAAGGAGCCCCTCAGTCGATTTTTCTTTTTTTGAGGGGGGGAGGTTAAATCAGGCTTATAGCAGTACGGATGGATGATATCGCCACTGTAAAATCCACTTGCAGTATCTTATCCATCAGCCCTTAAATGAGGCTTCTGATCCCAGTTGGGAAAAGCTTGGCCTGACCTAGAATGTGTGGTTGCTTTCAGCTGGGATAACAAACTATGGCTTTTCATTCTCGGACTAGCCCCGACAAGCCTTTGGTGTTGCTGGGACCTGCCACCTATTTGTGCACGAGAAGAGAGAAAATTAGCAATTCTCTCGTTTTCAATACATTTGCAATTCCAAGTTACCAAAGATAACTTGTTAATATCCACTATTTGTGTGCCAGGGACGGTTTGGTCAGTCATGCAAAAAAACAAGGAATAGCTCCTCCTTGTAACATTTGTTGCTTGAACTGAGTTAAAGCTTGAGAAATGTTGAGTGCAGTAAAAATGTTCACCCTTCTACCCAAGGCAGTGTTTCCCAACCACAGCAACTTTAATTTCAACTCCCAGAATTCCCCAGCCAGCACGATGGACTACCCTACTGCCCTGGGATCTCCTAGTGGTCTCCTGTTGAAGTACTAGCGGTCTTGAACCCCGAGCTTTGAAGCACCAATGGGGAGTTCTGCAAAGCCCTTAAACCTCTCAGTTTGCCAGAGCTCCATCAGATGGCGCCACCTGCTAGCATTGTTAAACGACAATGGAGACAGCTTGAACAAATCTGACATCTCACTTTTATTAATCAGCAGCTTGTGTTCTTCTTTTTCTTCTATAAGCCATATTTCTCAATGCAGTTGCTCACTTTTTGCCTCACATTCTAGATCACACAAACTCCAGTGGAAGGACAGCTTTATTGCACATGGTTCACAAGTTATACATTGATATCTATTTATCAAATTTAGAGATTGAGCAACTCTGGGTGATGTGCAGTTAAACCTCTCCTTCCAAACGCATTCCCAGACAAACCTCTGTTGCTCTGGTGTTCTTTTTTCCCCAAATTCTGATGTATCTATTTCTCTTTCTGGCTGAAATCATTGACACGTTGTGATTAAGCAAGGGCTTCTCCTGCTGCTTTCTTTTTCAAGTCAATGTTGGAGAAGATTGCCCTGTGTTTGACGGACTGTTTGAGTTCTGCCAACTTTCTGCAGGAGGCTCCGTTGGTAAGTAGCAATCACAGTTTTAAAAATAAAAACCTCAAAAAGGATGCACTAACTGCACTGCTTGTTCTGCTGAGGGCCTCAGTTTCATGATGGAGTTGCAGGCCGTGTGTTCCGACATCCGATTCCTGCTCTTAGGTCAGGCAATGATATGCAAAGTTGCTTTGAATTTAAAATATCCATTTGAACGCAAACTATTTCAGACAGTTTTGGAAAATGTCAGGAGGAGGCTGATACAGGCACTCCACATCTTAGAATCTCAACTGGGACCAGGATTTCTGTTGCCAGGCAAGGTGGTGGTTAAAGTGAGCCACGCCCAATTTTATGTCCTTTTTTTGTCATAGTTAAGCAAATCTCTGCAGTTAAATGGATCACATGGTTTTAAACAAATCCGGCTTTTCCCATTGATTTTGCTTGTGGCAAACCAGCTGGGAAGGTGGTGAATAGTGACCACATGACCCTGGCATGCTAAACCATCATAAATACATTCCTGATTGCCAACCCCCAAATGTTGACCATGTGATTGTGAGGATGGTGCGAGGACCTATCATAAGTTACTTTTTTTCAGCGTCATTGTAACTTTGATCAGTTGATTGCAAATCAAAGACTGCCTCTTGTCCCCTTGAGCTCACAAAAGCTTATGCCTTTTTAAGAAAATGTGTTAGTTGGAAAAGTGGTTATCAAAATCCTGATTTTCTTTTTATCCTCCTATTAAACATTTTGCTAAAGCAGCTGTTTTGAGCTTGAGACATTCTGCTCCATGCTCAGATCGCTTTCAAAATGCTCAAAACAGCTTTTTCCACACAAAAATGAAGTGTTTTAGATTCAGAATAACTCACATCAAAATGTTTTGTACATTCCACATGATAAGTTCACGGATGAAGGTTTCTAGAGAATGTTGTCTCTCGTGCTTCCATGAATAGTCATCTCAGAATAGTGTTTGTATAGATCTGGATAAATATTTAGGAGTTTATGGATCCTTGATTCCAGAGCAAATTCCTTTGGTGTCTGCCGGCTTCTCTGCCTTTTCTGATTTTGATCTTTTTAGATTATTTTAATTTAAAAAAAAATCTAGAAAATAATAGGAAGCTAGAGCATGAAGCATAATGATGTCCTCTGGTATCGTAATTTATAAAAACACCTGTGATCCACATACTTCTCTGAGCATTAAAAATGGCCGATGGCAGCTATCATGCTAGCCTCTGAAAGTATGTCCGCCTGCTGAGAAAAAACCAATTTGGGGCAATAAAGACCATACTGGCTGGCTAAAGAAGGGAGGAGCAATGGTGTTTTGCCCATGGGTCTCCTTGATAGCCATTTTGTGAGAGTGCCCACAGCTGTTGTGTTCTCAAGTTGCCCACTTGCCCACCTGCCCAAAAGAGTTGGTATTCTCAAAACAGGGAGAACTGGAAAGATTGGTCTCTTTACATTTTGTTGTTGTTGAGTTGCTAAGTTGTGTCTGACTCTTTGTGACCCCATGGACTATAGCATGCCAGCCCTCCCTCCCCCCATTGTCTCCTGGAATCTGCCCAAACTCATGACTACCACCTTTTTTTTTTTTAATAATTTTTTATTTTTCCAAACTCTCCCCCATACATATACCGTAATATTTATCAGAGGTTAACATACATTCTTTTTACATTCGTATATAAGATACTTTTAATAAAATGAAATAAATACATACACATGACTTTTGGTGTTGCTCGCCCATTTCTCCTTTCACCGTATCCACACGCCTTCTTCTCTCCCTTCTTTCTCCCTTTCTTCTCTTCCCTACTTCCCTCTTCTTCCTCTCCTCTTCTCTTTCCTTCTCCTTTCTCCCCACTTCTCCTCTCCTCCTCCAACCTTCCTACTTCCTACTTCCTTCTCTCCTCCTTTACTCTTTTCTCTCTCCTCTCCTTTCTTCCCTCTCATCCCTCTTCAGATACAAGTCAGGGGTAATGACATGACCACCACCTTGATGACGCTATCCCACCCTCTGCGACCTCCTTCTTTTTACAGCTACTCATGTTTCATGAACGTGAATTACACATGATTATGATGTTGGCCTGAAGTGGGGAAGGCTGTGTGGCGTGTGCCCTGCTTCCCCTGGCTTTGCCATGATGCCTAACAAGGAATGACCAGGTGTGCTGCTACTTTTGTCGTCTCGGAAGAAAGGAAGAGCCTCAGCATTGGGAATCTTGTTTAATCCAGCTTGTAGCTCTCCGTCAGAACTTGCTACTCTTAAAAAAAAAAAAAAATCAGGATGTGGCAGAGACTGTGACCAATGCGGTTGGTCCTGCCTCGGTAGCACAGTTTGAGAACATGTGAGCTGATTCAAGGGTGGCGTATGCCTTTAAATGACTGCATGATTCTCAAATAAATGGGTGTAATGGGGTTATAGTAATTTTGTACCTTACAAATGGGGCTTTGTAATTTACACATCTGTTTTGGAGAGTAGCATTTTATCATGAGTTATAAGGGTTGCACCCACAGGATAATGGTTGGAAATAAGTGATTGAAATCTTGGGGGGGGGGTCAAGTAACACAGAAGGGCAGGTATTGTGAAAATGTCCAGTCCTTACCTACAGAAATCTAACATCTTCCATCTGGCTTCAGCACTCTGTGCGACCCACATTCTGGGTTCTTGTAAGTGTATACTGTCAGTCCTCAGTTTATGACTAGTTGCTTAATGACGGTTTGAAGTTATGAACCCCCAAAAAAGGGATGACCAGAGTTTAAAGTTCTGACGGCTGCCCTTCCTGCCATGGTCACATGATTTTATGGATGCTCGGCAACAAGCTAGCATTTACAACTGATCATGATTTATAGTGTTTTTCCCCCTGAAACTGGGGTTTACTTCTGGTTTCCAGCAAAAAAAACTTCCATTAGGAACAAGGGTTTTACCTGATGACTGTTGTGCAAGTTTAATGACTGCTGCAAAAAATACCGTAAAATCAGGCGTAGTCACTTAATAACCCGCTTCATGACCAGCATGTCGTACAGCTTTATTCTGGACTCAGTTACGATTCTAACTCGAGGACTACCTGCAGCATGGTTTTCCTTGGTTGTCAATTCTGGGTGCTTTGCGCCAACCCAAAGGATCTCCAACTGCTGGACTGGCATCCTCCCCATTGTCCTTGATCGTGGGGACTCTGCAGATTGTCCTCCCAGCACCTCTAAATGGTAGCGATAGAAGAGAATATTTGTAGCTCAGCGCTGAACTGTGGAGTCCTTGATGCTCTCTTGGTGGTTTTCTTACAGGCATTTGATTACCAAACTAGATAGCATCCTCAGTGCCCTCTGAATGGGCCTGGCTGCAATGGCTGCTTTGTCATCTCTGCCCTCTCCCTGGTTTGAATTTTTCTCCCCAGCAAGCGCCGTGAAACTAAACAAGCAGCAGACGGACATCGCCGTGAACTGGGCTGGGGGCTTGCATCACGCCAAGAAATCAGAGGCGTCTGGCTTCTGTTACGTCAATGACATCGTCCTGGCTATCTTGGAATTGCTCAAGTATGTGAAACCGCCACTTTGTATTGTGGACCTAAATGAAATCCTCATCTTTATGCCAAGATTTCTCAGATCGTGCCCATTTTAAGGACTTCAACTCCCAGAATTCCTGGCTGGGAAATTTTGGGAGTTGAAGTCTATGCAATGGCCAAGGTCGAGAAACCGTGCTTTATACTGTGGATCAAAGTGAATCCTCTCCTTGTCAAAAATATCCTATTCATCTTATGCAGAAAAAGCTGCTCGGATAGGGAAATCTGAGAGGTTTGACAGCTTTGCCCTTGTTTTAACCATCACGGAGGGAATTTACCTATGAGACAGCTGGAGAGGCACAGATTTGAATAGGCAAGTCCAAGAAACATTATTTGGTCTGACAATGGCTTTCAGCGAGCATTTAGAGCAGTGGTTCTCAACCTGTGGATCGGGACCCCATTTGGGGTCGAACGACCATTTCACGGGGGTCGCCAAACAATGCAGTCCGCCATTTTTTCCCCCCTTTTCCTTAGCTGTGCTACTCCCTTTTATTCTATTGGTTTTTGAAAGCCAATAGAATAGACTCTCTTGAATAGAGTCTAATTCTATTGGCTTTCAAAAGCCAATAGGAATTGTCCAGGCTGTCTCTGCCCTGCTGAGCCCGCCAAAAGCCCCATTCTGCAAACGGTGCTGCACCAGTTGAGTAGTCCTCGACTTATGACCGGTTGGGGGGTCGCAGCATTAAAAAGATTGAGAACCACTGATTTAGAGGAATCCCTGGCGTTTTGCAGAATCTGAGCCCAGCATGTCCCATTCTGGTGGCCAAAAGGGAGGCTCCTGAGGGTGTTTCAGGAATGCTTCCTTTTAAAAGGATCCACCTGACACCCGACAGCCTGGGTGCGGAACGTGGAACCAAGATCCTCGGCAGCTACTAAGAGGTGGGTTGATGACAGTAATTATTTCTGGAAAGGAAGGAAGAGCAAACATCTCCCCACGTAAGATTCAGACACACAGAATGTATTCAGCACCCTGGCTGTGTAATTTTCAGCAGTTAAGGATGCCCTCTCTGGCAGCTGATTCCACCTTTCCTGGCCCCTGGCTATTATCCCGGGATGCCCATTTGAAACTTCACCAGGCTGCCGATCATACAAACTTACTGTCAATGCTGCTAACATCGGATGTTCTTACTTGACAAAATATGAAGATGCAGACATTTTCTATTTAACCTGTCTATTGCTTTTAGAGTTAAAATTAGATAGTTAATGGGTGAAGAGGGGGGAAGAATGTACTTGCGAACTAGTTAGCCATAACAATATCTCAGTAGAGTATTTTTCAAGGTTAGTTGTAATGAGAGACAATAGTGGGAGAGAAAATTCACACTTCAAACTAATTGGAGAATGTGATTAATGATGGTTAAATGAAGGAGTGAGTTATGCTTTGTTACGGGTGTGTTGGGGGAGGAGAATTCAGATTTTGGCTTCCCTATGTACTGCCAGAAACTATGTAGCAATTAAAAAGATTCTTTAAGGTAAACAATGCCTCAAAGTTCTTTGAAGAGCTTCTTCTTTCGGAACCATGACACTTACTTTCTTCTCAACCAGGCCTGGTGTGGCTTTGGGAACTGAATTTTAAAAGTGGCTAATTTTGAGTTTGCTTTGGGGGGGACGCCTAGGTTCCTCGTGGCTGAACGTTGTTTTTGAGGTGCCAGCCTGACCTCTTTTTGCAACCTCAGGTACCACCAGAGAGTCTTGTATGTTGACATCGACATCCACCATGGCGATGGTGTGGAGGAAGCGTTCTACACCACAGACCGTGTCATGACAGCGTCCTTCCATAAGTATGGGGAATATTTCCCAGGAACTGGGGATCTGCGGGTGAGAATGGGAATTGGAGATGCGTCTTCCTGGGCATTCGGTCCCTCTTCTTCTTTTTTTTGTTGGCTCGCAAACTTTCCAGGCCCTGTTAGGCAACAGAGCTTTGAATGATCTCCTCTCCTTCTAAAACAAGATGATTTGTGTTCGCTGGGTCAGAGGTCCTAGCACACCTGTTCCCAGGTTGAAAAGTTCAATGTGACAGAATTTATGTCACACTGCTATGGAATGGAAGAGAGCAGGCAATCTCATTAGCGTTATTGACTGTTCCTATAACTGAAATAAGCTCTGATGATAATATCTGGCTGATTTTGTTTTCACCTCAAAAGCTATGTCAATTAGATCCAGAAATCCCAGATCTGTGGTCTAGATCCGTGGTGGCGAACCTATGGCAGGGGTGCCAGAGGTGGCACGCAGAGCCCTCTCTGTGGGCACGTGCACCGTCGCCCCAGTCCTAGGCCTTCAGCTGGGTTTTATAAAACCTTTTTGCTTTAGGCCTCTGCCGCCGTATGCAGAAAAAAAAAGGGGGGACAAAAATCAATCAATCCATCAATTTCAACTTCTCTTGGGAAAAAAAAATCTCACAAAGTTGGAATTGATTGATTGAACTTTTTAGTCCCACCCAGTCTGCCATTACCAATGCAGCCACGCCCACCCGGCACCCGATGATACGTAAGTGGGTTTTGGGTTGCAATTTAGGCACTTGGTCTCTAAAAGGTTCGCCATCACTGGTCCCAGAAATTTTCCCAAAATTACACAAGCATCTCCATTATTAGTTGATGTTGACTTGGAGAGGACAACACCTTGATTAAAGAACTTGTCGAGGCAGAGTATGGCCTTTGGCCTAGAAAAAGCTGTACGTGCCTCCAGGGGCGTGCAAAATATTTCCAGTTTAAAATTGTATTTATTCTATGACTGCCCTTCTCAGCCAAGTGACTCTGGGCAGCTTATAATTCTAAAACAATGAAACACGGCCTTGTTGAGTTTGAAACAGACTGGGCATTTCTGGGAGAGTCGAGATGCTGTTTTGAGCTTGAAACAATTCAAATGTGAAACTTCCTTAACCTTGTTCCATTCCTCTTCCTGTCTATTTACTGATTATTAGATTCAAGGTCACCTCTTTAAAGATGGGCTGTGATCTGGGTCTCCGTAGGGCAGTGTTTAGGGCAGTGTTTCTCAACCGTGACGATTTTAAGGCATGTGGACTTCAACTCCCAGAATTCCACAGCCAGCATTGCTGGCTGTGGAATTCTGGGAGTTGAAGTCCACATGCCTTAAAATTGTCAAGGTTGAGAAACACTGCCGTAGGGATAGTCTTGACACCGTCACCCAGGGTTTTTCAAACTTGGCAATTTTAAGATGTGTAGACGTCCACCTCCCAGAATTCCTCAGCCAGCATGTTGTGTTAAAGTTCACGCATCTTAAAAGTGGGCTGGGGAATTCTGGGAGTTAAACGTCTATGCATCTCAACGTTGCTAAGGTTGAAAAAAACACTGCCTTAACCGCTACATCAAGTGGGCTCTCCTTTCCATGGAAAGCTACACTGGCTGAGAAATACATTGTTCTGGCTTAAGAGGAAATTGAGGGAACCAATGTCACACCCTGCAAGCATCATGTGAATCCTAGAACACTCACTCTTCAAGGTCTTTCCCTTCTTCTCCTCTCCCCCCTCAGAAAATAGCTTGCTGTTACAGCAACAAAGAAGGACTAGATAGGGAACATTTGGGCGCCATTTGGCAAAATCTCACTCATTGGGGAAGAGGAGAAGCAGATGCCCGTGTGTTGCTCTTTGCCCTTCCTCCCTCATCATCTGGGATCGGATGCGCCGGCTGGCATCCTTGTTGAATCTGGCTTATTCTTTCGATTCAGCACCAGCTCATCCCCTCCCCCCAGTCTTCTGGGCTGAGCTCTCCTGGGCAGGACAAGATGGCTGACTCTCCTGCTTTGGGGAGGCGTCATTGGGAAATGCTTTGGCTCTAAAGAGCCAAGGGAGCTTGTGGACAAGCCCTTGGCGGTGTTCTGGGTGACGTGAGAAGGGTGTGCCACTGTTGGGCCACAGGGCCTCTGCGTCCTTCAGTCCCTGACTTGGGCATCCTCTGAAGGTGGCCCCAGCTGGTGTTTCAGATGCCATCTTTTCTTCTTCTTCCTAAGGATATTGGTGCGGGCAAAGGAAAATATTATGCTGTCAACTACCCTCTCCGGGACGGGATCGATGACGAGTCTTACGAAGCCATTTTCAAGCCGGTAAATGTCTTGGTCCTCAAATGCTTCTAATTCGTTTTGCAGGTGCTGCAGTTGCCTTGCTAAGCTTTGCAGGCCTGCAGATGGTGGAGAAAGTTGTAGCTTCTAGCAAGGGCTATTGGAGGGTCCCAGAGGAGCAGGGAGGGGATGGGAGAACATGAGCTTTCAGGGATGAAAGGGCAAGCTTCAGGCTACCTGCTCAGCACTGACCAGCCCTTAGTCTCCTTCAGGTCCTGTTGGTGGGAGGTGGGAGCCTTGTCCCTGCTCTTCATGGAAGCATAACAGGAGCTCTGGGTGGCTTCCGTTGAGGAACAGGCTTTGCTGAAGGCGTTGGGCTGGCTTTTCCTTCTCTGCCACACCTTGTGCTGAAAGGGAAGCGGTCCAGGTGGTGACCCTTCCGGTTCTGTGCGTTGGCTACATTGTGACCATGCTCAGGTGTTTGGCTTTTTTTAATGGCCAGGTGATGTCTAAAGTGATGGAGACATTCCAGCCAAGTGCCGTTGCACTGCAGTGTGGCTCAGATTCCTTATCGGGGGACAGATTGGGTTGTTTTAATCTGACCATTAAAGGTAAGAGGGGTTCCTTGGAGGGGGTGGTGGTGGTGACTTACTCAAGAGTGTCCCCAGGATGCTTTGCTGGTCAAAATCAGCTGCGTGTCCTCTGAGGGACCGTTCAATGCTTTGCAGGATTGCAGGGGAATCTTTAAAGATTGGATATTTGTGTCTTGTGGCGCAATGAGAATCAAGGATTGTCTGTAACAGTGAAATGCATCTCTCCCCATTGTTTTGTGGCTCCGTTGGGTTGTTTCCCTCCTTCTTATTTTTTGCTGATTCATTGCTAAGTGGGAGCTCACTTCCAGCCGACTGATGCTCTTCCTTCCCCCAGGTCATGCCAAGTGCGTGGAGTTTATCAAAGGCTTTAATTTGCCCATGCTGATGCTGGGAGGTGGTGGCTACACGATCCGTAATGTGGCCCGGTGTTGGACATACGAGACGGCTGTGGCGTTGAACACAGAGATTCCAAATGGTACGCAGGACTCTTGGCTAGCTCACCTGGGGAGGGGGGCACGGACAGGTCCTCAGGGTGTCCCAACAGCAAGGTGAATGAGGGCAGCTGCTGAGCTGCTAGAGAGTTACAGAGCCAAGCATCTGAAAACCAGCTAACCCTGGGACTTGGGGTGAGTCTCTGGTTGATCTATACCAAGGGTAGGCAACCTTGGCTCTTTTATGACTCGTGGACTTCAACTCCCAGAATTCAAGAGCCAGCCATGCTGAGGGGAAAGGGAGAGGTTTCCAAGCTGAGCCATGCTGGCTCAGGAATTCTGGGAGTTGAAGTCCACGAGTCATAAAAGAGCCAAGGTTGCCTACCCCTGATCTATAGGTTTGGAAGATGGATTTAAGGCTTGCCTTGCATCAATATTTGTGGTGGAATCTGGTGCTGAGTTGCAGGAGGGTGGGGGGTGGGGGTCTTTCACAAGGAGCTAAGAGACAAATCAGCCTTGAATTCTTGGTATGCAGAAAGAGACCCTGGAGGGATCCTCCCTAAAATGTCACAGGATTTATCTGATAGGTCTGCAGCCTCGTGTGTTTTAGTCTGGCGAGGTTCTGGCCTGTGAGCAAACAGCAATAAAGAAAACTATTCTGAGCAGTTCATTTTTGGTTCCTTGTGCCTGAGTCTTGATGCTAAGGGAATGGTAGTGCTGCTTAAGAAATGCGTAGTAATTGCCAGCGGGCATCGTTTTGGGTTTATTTGTTAATTTTACAGGAGCCAAAGTGCCTTGCGCGCACTTTCCTCCAGTTTTCTGGCAGCATCAGCCTTCTGTTTTGGCTGGGCTGAGAAAGAGTGCCAAGTCCCCAAAGAAGCTTTCACGATAACGTGATTATTTGAGTTTGCACTTTTTGCAGCGCCATTTTGAGGCCGTGAACGTCCTCTTTGTGGCTTTCCTCCTTCCTTGGAATTGCCACGGGGCAGTTTAACAGCCTAACCTCCGTGCCTTTGAACCCTTCTGCAGAGCTTCCTTACAATGATTACTTCGAATACTTTGGGCCGGATTTCAAACTCCACATCAGCCCTTCCAACATGACCAACCAAAACACCAATGAATACCTGGAAAAGATAAAGTAAGTCCCTGCATTTATATATATATATAGAGAGAGAGCTTGGTGATCGGTGATGGTATTAAACTTTTATAGTTTATTATATTCCTGGTGTTCACGTTTTATTGGTAATTGACTATGGATTCACCCAGGAATCACATTTTTATTTTCACTATTCTTATTAATATATGTGTGTGTGTGTGTGTGTGTGTGTGTGTGTGTGTGTGTGTGTGTGTGTGTATATTTATATTTGAGGGTGTGTGTGTGTGTGTGTGTGTGTGTGTGTGTGTAGATTTCTGCTGAAGGGCTTCTGCTTGACGTTTGATTCCTTGGTTGCAGGCAACGTCTCTTTGAGAACCTGAGGATGCTCCCCCATGCTCCTGGAGTGCAGATGCAGCCAATTCCAGAGGACGCCGTGCCGGAGGAGAGTGGCGACGAAGAAGAGGAAGATCCTGACAAACGGATTTCCAGTGAGTGCCGGGCCCGGAGGAATTGCCAACAGGAGGGGGGGCTCTCTTTTAGCTGAGGGCTTAGGAAGCTGCCTCTTGAATAAGTACCAAACGTGGCTTTTCCTTCCACCATCCCTCCTTTTTATCCTCCTCTGCTCCATCTGTATTTGAATGTATTTAAGTCTCAGGGGAAGAGGCTTGAAAATTGGACTGTTCTTTTACTATCTTCTAGGCCAGGCAGGGCTTCTCAAGCTTAGCAACTTTAAGATGTGTGGACTTCAGCTCCCAGAATTCCCCTGCCAGCAAGTCCATGCATCCTAAAGGTGTCAAGGTTAAGTTGCCCTGCCTTTCCTTCCTTCCTTCCTTCCTTCCTTCCTTCCTTCCTTCCTTCCTTCCTTCCTTCCTTCCTTCCTTCCTTCCTTCCTTCCTTCCTTCCTTCCTCCCTCCCTCCCTCCCTCCCTCCCTCCCTCCCTCCCTCTTCCTTCTCTTCCTTTACCTCACCTTCTCCTATTCCTCCTTCCTTCCTTCCTTCCTTCCTTCCTTCCTTCCTTCCTTCCTTCCTTCCTTCCTTCCTTCCTTCCTTCCTTTTCTTCCTTCCTTCCTTCCTTCCTTCCTTCCTCCCTCCTTCCCTCTTCCTTCTCTTCCTTTACCTCACCTTCTCCTATTACTCCTTCCTTCCTTCCTTCCTCCCTCCCTCCCTCCCTCCCTCCCTCTTCTCTTCCCTTACCTCACCTTCTCATATTCCTCCTCCCTCCCTCCCTCCCTCCCTCCCTCCCTCCCTCCCTCCCTCTTCCTTCTCTTCCTTACCTCACCTTCTCATCTTCCTTCCTTCCTCCCTCCCTCCCTCCCCTTTCAAGCATGCTGTTTTATGTTGAAGGAGCTCTCCTCGGATTCCTTGCTCTTCTACCATTGAGTCTTCCTTTCTCTTCCACAGCCTGCTTGATCCTCTTCAGTCCCAGTTTCAGCAGCTCAGTTGGGACAACGTGCTCTTGAGTTCTGAATGACATTCTGGTGGCCAAGGCTTAAATCTGACTTTAGAGCTAATTCTTTTGGACCGAATGGCCCCATTTCATATGCTTGCCCACCAGATGCTGCTATCTCGCTTACAATCCCCGGGGATCATTCACGCTGTATTGGACCGGTTTCAATCTTGTATAGCATCCCCTTGCTACACAAGATTGCTACACAGATGTCCATCGTGGCATTTCTGGGAGTTTTCTCTTGTAGCAGGCTTTATAACAGAAAATTAATCTTTTTTTCTTTGTCCTTGATTATTCCTAATGTCCTGTTTCATGATCGGGACATTTGGTATCATCATTTTGCTGGTGATAGCCATCTGTTGGTCTTTGATGACTGCACAGGGCCCACCACAACACAGTGTCTTCTAATGCTTCATCCTGGATGCCCTTCAGTATCCATGTTCCATCCTTCAAGTGAATATGGATAAGATGAAGATTTGAATTTTGGCCGATTATTTTTTCCAGTTGTCTGTAGTGTTTGTCCAGTGTTTGCTTCCAAAGTTCCTTAATTGACTCAGTTTTGTCCACCTTTAGGTTTGATGGATGACCAACTAACTCTGCCCCCATTTCTCAATCTTACCGCAAGGGTAGCTGAGTTTTATTTGATGGATACTAATAGGAACTGCCTATTTCTGGGGAGCAGACGGCGGCTTTATTGATTTGTGCCTCTGTTGTTTCATGCTTCAGTTACAGTAATTGCTGACTGGCATGCACGCCTGATTCCTCCTGTGCCTGGAGGGGTGCAAATTGGGACCTTCCACCCTTCTCTTGCCGGGCTCTTCACTGGATCCGAACTTGATCCCGAGCCCAGATTCAATGGCAGGGGTGGAGTTTTAGCCCTCTGATTACAATCTTCTATTCTGCCCCATTTCTTCCCACCACTGTCCCGCTTGCTCCATATGTTCCCTTGGCAGGTTTCTCTGCTGATCTGGCCTTGAGGCTCTAGACCAGTGGTTCTCAACCTGTGGGTCGGGACCCCATTTGGGGTCGAACGGCCATTTCACGGGGGTCGCCAAACAACGCAGTCTGCCATTTTTCCCCCCCTTTTCCTTAGCTGTGCTACTCCCTTTTATTCTATTGGCTTTTGAAAGCCAATAGAATAGACTCTCTTGAATAGAGTCTAATTCTATTGGCTTTCAAAAGCCAATAGGAATTGTCCAGGCTGTCTCTGCCCTGCTGAGCCCGCCAAAAGTCCCATTCTGCAAACGGTGCTGCACCAGTTGAGTAGTCCTCGACTTACGACCGGTTGAGTAGTCCTCAACTTACGACCGGCTGGGGGTCGCGGCATTAAAAAGGTTGAGAACCACTGCTCTAGAACCAGCTTCCTCTTTCCTCTTGCCTTTGTGTTAAGTTAATGGCTTTTCAAAAGGATTTAAAGACCTTTTTTATTTGACTAGGAAGTTACTCTGGAGTCTGTTTATTCCACCCTCTTCTTGTTAATGGTGAAGTTCCCAGGCTGGTACCTGTTTTAGACTAATTGAAATTGCATGTATACGCCAGGTCTAGTAGGAATTTGCTTTAAATTGGTACAGGGGTTGTGCTTGCATTTATTTTAGCTGTGAATAGTTGCTTGCTTGGATTTGTTGTTAGCTTGGGGATTATTTATCCTGGATGGAATTTTTGTGATTACTGAGTCATTTCGACTTACACCTTGGGAAAAGTGTATAACCAATAAAAAAATATAATAGTCGTTTTTATTATTGCAATGGATGTTTTGAAACGTCATGCCTTATAAAACGCAGAGTCTTTATGGGTGGTCAGTATTATTACTGGTGGCGTTATTACCCTGCCTTTTTATTTTTATCTAGCTATCTCATGGTGATGAACACACCTAATACTTCCTCCTCCTTCTATTTCCCTCACAACAACAACCTTACAAAGTGGCTTGGGTCAAGAGAGAGGGACTGGCCCAGATTCAACCAGCTGGCCTTCATGCCAAAGGCAGCACTAAAACTCAGAGCCTCCTGATGATTGGCCCAAAGTCACCCAGCCAGCTTTCATACCCTTGGGAACTGTGAACTAAACTGACTCATAGTTTAGGGTTTAAATTAGGGTTTTTAATCTCAGGGTCCTATTGCAATTCCTACCCTGCCCTTGTGTGCTTTGTTGACCCTCATCTTTCTTTTTGGGAAAGCCAGTTTTGGCCAATGTGCTGATGGATGGACATCTAATGGTGGGACTTACTGTTTGAAGAAAAAAAAAAGAATATTTTTAGCCTTCCTCCTCTGCTGTATGAAATGTAAAGCTGCTAATATCCCTTTCTGCTTCTCTTCCCCCCCCTCCCCCCCACAGTTCGCTCTTCGGACAAGAGAATCGCCTGCGAAGAGGAATTCTCGGACTCGGAGGACGAAGGGGAAGGCGGACGCAAAAATGTTGCCAATTTCAAAAAGGCTAAACGGTCAAAAACGGAAGAACAGGAGAAGGAGGAGGAGAAGAAAGGTAGCAGCTACTTATTCGTAGGGGAGAACTTTAAGTCCTGCTTGTTGGGGGAAAAAAAAAATCAAATTAGTGACAGAGCTGACTTTTCCAGCGAGACCTCTAATCTCCCATCCAGTAAGAACTTGCCCTGCAGAAATGCCATGTTTGGGGCTTTACATCACACTGCTGACCCTCGACATGTGTTGTGGCCTCCTGGACTAAAACTGTGTGGTTGTACTACCTGAGGAGATGCAGATCGTTAGTTTGTTTTTAAGCCGGGACAAGTTATCACCTCTGTATTGTATCCTATTAGGAGCACAAGTAATTCTTGATTTTACGACCGTAATGGAGCCTGCCCACACATCTGCCCCAAAATAATACAATTACAAGAAAGCTTGAAGGTACAAACCTCATTATGAAAATGAAGCCGTTTTCCCCATTTTATATTAACTATTCACCTGTTAGGTTAGAGTACCAGTGTAATCTCTTCAATCGGCACTGGCTTTCCAGTTACTCTTTGATACCTCCTGGTGCCCATATGAATTGCACCAGGCTGAAGGCCTGAAATTGTTGACTTTCACAAAGGAAAAAACAACAACACAGGGCCAACTAGCCAAATTGCTGTCTTTCTGCCAGAACAGCCTTAGAAAATGGTTAGGGAGGCTGGTCAGTTTTGGGTGTGGTGCACAAGAACACCCACCGCATGTTAAAGGATGTCTTGTGTATGTATAACTGAGAGAAACGGGGTTATATGTTCCTTCCTGCAGAAGTACACGAAGAGGAGAAGAGAAAAGAAGAACCAGCAGAGGCCAAAAGGTGAGAGACCCCGGAAGGGGGGAAGACCCTTAGTTAGGTGTCACCTCTGGAAATGCCTTTCTGTAGCTTCCAGACTTGGTTCCTCCTCCTCCTCTAAATCAGTGGTTCTCAACCTGTGGGTCGGGACCCCATTTGGGGTCGAACGACCATTTGCACGGGGGTCGCCAAACAACGCAGTCCACCATTTTTCCCCCCTTTTCCTTAGCTGTGCTACTCCCTTTTATTCTATTGGCTTTTGAAAGCCAGTAGAATAGACTCTCTTGAATAGAGTCTAACTCTATTGGCTTTCCAAAGCCAATAGGAATTGTCCAGGCTGTCTCTGCCCTGCTGAGCCCGCCAAAAGTCCCATTCTGCAAACGGTGCTGCACCAGTTGAGTAGTCCTCGACTTACGACCGGTTGGGGGTCGTGGCATTAAAAAGGTTGAGAACTACTGATTTAGAGGAATCCCTGGCGTTTTGCAGAATCTGAGCCCCGCGTGTCCCATTCTGGTGGCCAAAAGGGAGATTCCTGAGGGTGTTTCAGGAATGCTCCCTTTTAAAAGGATCCACCTGACACCCGACAGCCTGGGTGCGGAACGTGGAACCAAGATCCTCGGCAGCTACTAAGAGGTGGGTTGATGACAGTAATTATTTCTGGAAAGGAAGGAAGAGCAAACATCTCCCCACGTAAGATTCAGACACACAGAATGTATTCAGCACCCTGGCTGTGTAATTTTCAGCAGTTAAGGATGCCCTCTCTGGCAGCTGATTCCACCTTTCCTGGCCCCTGGCTATTATCCCGGGATGCCCATTTGAAACCTCACCAGGCTGCCGATCACCAGGCTGTCTCTGCCCTACTGAGCCCGCCAAAAGTCCCATTCTGCAAACGGTGCTGCACTAGTTGAGTAGTCCTCGACTTACGACCGGCTGAGTAGTCCTTGACTTACGACCGGTTGGGGGTCGCGGCATTAAAAAGGTTGAGAACCACTGCTCTAAATGAAGCCTTTTCACACGTGCATGAAAGTGCTCGCTTCCCTGTGGCTATGTTGTCATTGTTTGTGCAAAAAGGAAGCTGGAGATTTGGGGTGCCAGCTTCCCTCAGGCTGGTTTGGACATTGCAAAAGACAGAGATCCATCCCTGAGGTGAGCACAGAGAGAGAGAGAGAGAGAGAGAGAGAGAGAGAGAGAGAGAGAGAGAGCAGTAACTTTAGAAGTGAGAATTGGCTTTTTTCCCCTGACATTTCCTAAGCTAACAGGCCCCTAACAGCCCCCTTCGTTTCTCCAACAGCATAAAGGAAGAGGTGAAGCCCACCTAAGAAACGTTGGACGGCTGGGGAACGCCACACCTCCCTGGTTCTCCAGTTCAGCACTCTGGTTCCCTCCCTGTTCCATGAGATTTGTATTTTATATGTTTCTGTTGGTTTTCTATAAATCTGGGGGTGGGGGGGACTTGAGACCTGGCTGCCCTTCCCTGGGAGAGCTGCCAGGAGGGAGGTCCTGAATAGGCTTATCCCAGAGAGCGCCCTTTACGAGATTCCTGCTTCTCCCGTCCCTCTTGCTTTTGCATAGGGGAGATTTGCGTGTTTCCTTTTGGAAAGCAAACCCCAAACTTCCCTTCTGTTTTTAAAGCAGGGGCTCTCAACCTTGGCAACTTTAAGACGTGTGGACTTCAACTCCCAGAATTCTGGGAGTTGCAGTCCACAAGTCTTAAAGTTGCCAAGGTTGAGAACCCCTATTTTATAGGATGACTATTCTCTGGGAGAAGATATTTTTTCAGAGGAAGCTCCTTTCCTTTCACTAGTTTAATTAGCTAGGATACAGCCATAAAACTCTGGAAGAGTTATTTGGGGGGGGGGATAGGGGATAGGTGGAACCCAGAATTCCAAACACACTTACCCACCTGTAAGCCTCGGAAGGGTCGATCCCTTTTGAGCAACCCTGAGTGTAAACCAGGGTTTAATTCCCCAACCCCACTTCACACATCCCTCTAGGGCAGGGTTAGGCAAGCTTGGCTCTTTTATGACTCGTGGACTTCAATGCCCAGAATTCCTGAGCCAGCATGGAGGAAACTTTGGCCCCTTCATGGCTTGTGGACTTCAACTCCCAGAATTCCTGAGCCAGCGTGGGGGAACTATGGCCCCTTCATGACTTGTAGACTTCAACTCCCAGAATTCCTGAGCCTGCCTGGCTCAGCTTGGAAACCTCCCCCTTTCCCCTCAGCGTAGCTGGCTCAGGAATTCTGGGAGTTGAAGTCCACAAGTCCTAAAAGAGCCACAGTTGCCTACTTTGCTCTAGGGCAGTGTTTCCCAAACTTGACAATTTTAAGGCATGTGGACTTCAACTCCCAGAATTCCACAGCCAGCGTTGCTGGCTGTGGAATTCTGGGAGTTGAAGTCCTCATGCCTTAAAATGGTCAAGGTTGAGAAGCACTGCTCTAGGGGTATCAGCTCTGGAGTTGCAGGGGAGGCGCTGATCTCATCCTGCTTATGATAGGGGAAAAAAAATCAGGGGTCCTCCCTTCGGAGCCAGGAGTGGAGATTGATGTCTCCATTGGTGATGCCATCTGAGTTTTGCGATCCCCCGTCCCCTTTTTAAAATTGTCTGTGGGCTTTTGCTTATGAATTGTCACACCAGCCTCGAGGGGTCCTTAGGAAAACCGACCTGTTGCGGGATGGCTCTGCAGAAGGGCTTCTTCCTAAAACAGGAACTAGCCCAAACCTGCTTCCTGTTCCTGAATTGCGTTAAGATTTCCAGGAGGCAGCATTGGCTCCAATAGGCTTGCAGGTGGGCTGGGAGTTTCCCAGGGAACCCAGGAAGTGAGAGATAGGACAGAATGTCACTGTTTGGGGTCGACCCCAGCAATGCTGCTAATTTTGCCATGTCACTCTTTCAGGGGGGGAAGGGGGGGGCTTTATTATTTTTTTAAGCCTTTTTTTTTTTTAGTCGCTTGGATGCAATTGCCCTCCAGTTGTTCTTATCTTTAATACTTGTATTGGTGAAATGAAAGATCATTGTATTTGTGTGTTCTAGGGGGTGGGATGGGAAGATTTATATATATACATACATATATATATATATATATATTGTGTTTTTTAAAAGAAAAGTTTTTATTTTCATTTTTGCAGGGGAAAAAAAACTTTGTAATAAAATGGGTCTGTTTTTCTGTTTTCGACGGTGAATTCTTGCAGCAGGGATCTACCAAAATATGTCACCTGCCGGAGCAGCACATTTGAATATTCTCCAGGATTTCTTTTGCTCTGGGATACTACCTCAGTGGGACAAAGGATTGCTGCACAGGGCCGGCCTAGTGCTCACGGTTCACATGCAGCAGACTCATTTGCAAAGCTTTTCGCCTTTCCCACCCCAGGAAACTCCTGCCTTGAAGATGATACAGCCTAGAATTTAGTACATACATCCAGGGAGGGCACAGGAGATGGTGGGAATAATCAAGATGGAAGGATCTGTGTAAGTAACGTGTGGACGACAGGGAAGTGCACTGGGTAATAGCAGAGTCTCCTCCCCCTTATGGGAGAAAAGGGTTACTGACAACATAAGATACTACATGCTTCTAGACCAGCGGTTCTCAACCTATGGGTCGCGACCCCATTTGGGGTCGATCGACCATTTCATGGAGGTCGCCAAGCAAGGCTGTCCGCCATTTTTTTCCCTTTTCCGGCGGGTGCCTTACCTCCCTTGGGCTGGGCCAGGTGGTGGCCCAGCCGGTGGTCGGCCTGCTCCGTCTCTGCCGCTTGCCAGCTACGCCTCGGCCGGTGCAGGGGGCGGCACCACGCATGCGCGGTGCTCCCGGGCAGGGAAAGTTGTGAACTTACGACCGGTTTAGTCCTCGACTTACGACCAACTTAAAAAGGTTGAGAACCACTGTTCTAGACACAAAGGCTTAAAACATCTGGGTGGGCAGAGGTTCTGGGTTCTAGCATCAAACGTGGGGAACTGTAACATGGCCTTCTCAGCTGTGGCCCGTTCTGGAACACTCCCCAAACAGGCAGCGCAATTTACCAATTGTGCCAAAGTTGGCTTACTTAAAACTCTGGCATGTAAAACCGGCTTGTATATACATGTTTCTTTGTACCTAAATAGGAGGATTCTGCCCGGTCACAGAATGCCCCCCTTCCATCGTGTCAATGCCTCCAGCTTTTGACATGTTCCCTGTGCGCTGCTTGCCACATGGAAGCATTTTCAGTGTTGTGTATCATCAGTTTTACTTGCTGAACATGACCCTTGGAAAGGTGCTCAGAGCGAGGCATTTTCCATTTCCTGTTGTGAAATTGACCAGATTGACTGCACTGAGCAGGGCACTCAGGAAACCCTGGGACGAATGGGCACCTCTTCTTTGCGTCTCCGGAGGAAACATAGTGTTGCACGCTTGTCTATGCTGGCAGAACAGCTGAAACGGGACTAAAAAATAGGTGCAAAAGCAGTTATGTTATCTATGAACACTGGGCCAGGTTGTGTGCCCACAAAGGCTCAGTATGTCTTGGTAATCGCCCAGGCTCCTACAGCTATGCCCAACGCCCATTTAATCTTTTGTTCTGGCTACACTAGTTTTTTTTTAATATGCAGAGCAGTCAGAAAGAGCAAGAAGTCACGTGTGGCTAAGAAGCTGAACTAGGAGCAGAGAACTCAGGGTCAAGTCAAGATGCAACCTAGTGACTAGGTTTGTTGTGAGAAAAAATGGGGGTGGGGGTCCAATTCAAGATACTATTGTCTTCAACCTCCGAGGAAATGGGACGGGAATCTAGGGATTCCCTGGAAACGATTATTTGAAGCCAGTTTTCAACTGGAAGTCCATCCAGATTGTCCGCCAGCATCTCGACTGGAAGGAACAAGAAAATGGTTTTTTTTTAATCTAGTTTCCACCCAGCAACTGCATCACACTGCTGGTGCTTCTTCTCCACTTGCCTAAAGATCAAAGCAGATGGGAAGGATGAAAGATAGTGAGAGCCACAGCTAAGAACACTTTTGGCACTGACATCACCAGTTTACTTGAATCCCAGAAGGATTGCCGGCCTAATAAACAACTGTTTGCCAACCATTATCACCTACTCTCTAAAGACCAAGAATTGTTTTGTTCAAGGAGGGCACTGCAGCTGCTTCTCACAGCAGGTAACTAAAGGCCAGAAGACTTCACTAAGTTCACCCTGGTCCCACTTGCTTCCCAAATGTGCCACGGGGGTAACAACATTGCTGGCGCCAGCACAGTGAGTGTCCAGATTCCCAAAGATTAACCAAAGACCCTGAATGGCCTTTGAAATGGAACGGTGATCCACCAGCAGCATGTGATTCTGTGAACTGCAAGGCTTAATTGTAACAGAATTCAAAAAAGATAAGATCTTGGGCAGGGCAAGTTGCTTTATTCAAAAAAACCAAGCCCCAAAAACAAACTTCCTTTGATTTCGTTGGAGGCTGCTGGGGTTGGAGGAATTAGCATGATTAGCCCTCCATGATCTGATGTGCTCCTGAAGCGTTGCGCTACACCTCCTATCACCCTCAGCCAGCACATGCTGTAGCTTGTCCCATCATGCTTTCTAAGGACACACGGAGTGCAGATCAGCAAAACATTCTCTTCTCACTTGCTCACTGGCTCTTCCAGAAGTCGGGAGGTTTGCAAAAATTGAGGTAAGAAGCCAATATATATATAGAGACCAATCTATGATGAAATACACAAGAATGTTTGGCCATTCTTGTCCCCAGTCAAGATCTGGCAAGCCAACTGGAATAGGTGCTGAGCTCAAGACAAAAAATAACCAATTTGATACTGCTTGATAACCTACCTTGCTTTCTAGAGTCTCATCCCCCATAGCCTTTTGTACCAAAAACATCCTCAAGAGTATTTCTCAGCCCCATGACCTGTGCAGTGGGCAGTTAAAACCATACACCAACACAATCTTTTGGCGCTTATCTGTCTCCCACAGCTATCGTAGGAAACCTGCAGCCAGTGAGTTTTGAGTGGTTGGTTCCTACAGCTGCGACTCCCTGCCTCCATCTTAGGCAGGAGAAGCAAGGACTGCTGCCTCATATGGTGATTAGCAGGCACCTCTCCCTGATCTAAGATGAGTTAAAATGGCTGCCAGACCATATTCCAGCCTCACTGTCAGAGAAATGCTGTTCTTATATTTTCCCCCAGCCCAGCTGCAGTTTTGAAAAGAATCCACTGGAGTGCTTTCAACATCTGGAGCCATTTGCATGCAGCACAGACCACCCTATGAAGCCCATCATATAACCCACCTGGCGATTCCAACAAGATTTACTGGCATCCATTCAGACATGCCGAGCTAACCTTTACCTGCTAACTAGGGTTGGAAAGTTCTGCCTGAAAAGAGGAGCATGCAGAGTTGAGTAAGGTGGGCTCCCTTGTTCAAAAAGGCTGATGGTTGGAGAAAAGACGAGTCTCTGCTGCTTGCCTGGCCGCCGTTCCGTTGAGCGCACAGGTCAAGGCAATGAGGAACACCCAATGAAAGCAACTGAAGATACAGATAAGATTTGTGTCTTGCAGGAATTCATACTCCTTACAAGAGTATCCTAGGGTGCTCCCCACTAAGGCTCTTAATAGCCCGTGAAAGAAAGCGGCACGGGGATTAAACTCCCAAGTGCCTCCACCCAGATCTGTCCTGAAGCTTAGCACTTCTAAGGAAACTTGTCAGGAAAGGTTCTAGCTTGTCTCCTAGCGTGTAGTTTAAATGCATTAATGGAGTAAATATATGCCTGGCTGTGATGGGCGCAAGCCACACTTCTCCTTGGCTTCAATTCTGGGAATTATAGGTGCCCTCCCAACACAGTTCAACTTTCACTGGAGAATTGGATGGTACAGAAAGAGGAATTGGCACCCCCAAGGGGAAAACTATCTGGGAATCATGCAGCTGCCCGATTACTGGCCGCTTAGCCAACTACTACAGAAAAGGATCCAACTCCGATCCATAAAGGGGGTCACCATTTATTCTTTTCAAATGTTACAATAAGACCCATACAACTTTTGTTTAGGAGTTAGAAAACTGCAGATCAGGAGTAGGGCCATTAAAAAATTATTTACAAAGACAAGGAAACGAAAATTTAAAGTCACATCATACAGCCAGCCCTCCCGCTCAACCCTCTCCCACCCCCCTCCCCCAGGGGGTTGCCCCCCCCATCCCTAAATAAACCCGAAGTAGTTCTCCCTCCGATGTCAAATTAAACACAGTGGACTTACACGCTTTATGGTTTAAAGCCAAGAGCAAGACATTATAAAAAACTAACCAGATTAGCTTTTTAAACGGTGGTTTCTATAAAAAGCACAAAATACTTTTAAATGAAGTCAGAACCAGGAATGTAAACCAAGAGAGAGAGAGAATATCCGTTGTGAAAAACGGGTCAGTTGTTGCTGGCTTGTTGGTCTTTTTGGAGGAAAAAAAGAGAGCTGCATTTGAAGATTAGTAGAAACAGAAGATCTGAGGAAAAAGAACTTGGTGTTAATAGCTGAAGTCTCATTACATGGAGCAAGTCCCAGTTTCTGACCAGGATCAGTTCTCTCTCCATAATAGTTTTAAGAGGGGCTTTGGAGCTCCTGCTTGAGGGGCAGTGGTGCCCTCCGGGCCAAGTCAGTTTTATTTTTTTTTCTTCACTGTGTGTGTGGGGGGGGGCACATTGGAGAGACAGAGCTTGCCAGCTCAATGCAGAAGGCCTGTGTGTGGGGCGGGCCTGTGTGGCATGTAGTCAAGGCAGCAGTTCTGAGGGGTGGTTGGGATCGGAAGGATGGCACAGACAAGTCTCTTTCTGGTGGGCAGCTAAGTCAGCTCTATTCCTCTTCCTGCTCAGCAGCAGCAGCAGCAGTGTCGGCCGCAGCAGCAGTGTCAGCCGCAGCGCTAGGCTCCACCTCCGCAGGTTCCGAGCTCTCATCTGGCTTTACGTCCCCCTGGCTCTCGCTGGAAGGAGGCTGCTGTGGCTGTTCCTCCTCCTTCGCTGGCTCCTCGCTGCCATCTTGCCGCTTGGCTGCCGGTTGATTGTCGGGAGTAGCAGCCGCGATTTCCACGGGGGCGGCTGTCTCCTCTTGGGGCGCACTGGCCTGCTCCCCCCCCTCAGTGGCAGCTGACTGGTCCTCAGCCTCCGCTGCTTCAGCCTTTCCCTGCTGCCCCGCGGTGGGAGAGGCGGCGGCCGACGCATCCCCGGTTTCCTTTTTGGCTTTCCGGAAGGAAATGCCGCTCAGCTTGAAGGATTTTTTGAACGAGAACCGTTTCTTCTTCTTGGGGGTCTGCTTGGAAGTGTTGGTGGAAGCCGCCCCGTCAGGTTTGGCTTCGCCCTCGGCCACTGGGGCTGGCTCAATGGCGTCTCCGCCGCCCGTCTCGGCCTTGGCCGGCTCCTTGGGGGCCTCTGCTGAGCCGCTGTCGTTCAGGGAGTTCACCTCCCCATCGGCTTTCGGGGACACATCCCCGTTGACTTTCACATGGCCGTTTTCCTGGAGGGGGAAACAAAAGGTACACCAGAGTTACAGCTCTGAAAAAGGAGACGCTCAGCATCCCTGAGTCTCATCCAGCTGAGAAAATGCCCCTCCCCCGCAATTGCATGAACTGAAACCCCACATCCCATAGTCCCAAGAGCCACACACTGGCAACAGCACACAACCTTGACTGCCCTCACACAACAGGTAACTGGATTAATTCGTTCTTTGGGCTTGCACCCAGCATCCAGCCCAACCGTTCGACATCACCCGGGTTTACGCCAATATACTGAGCAGCAGAAAAATGAACCAAGTTGGACCGGGCGGCCAAGGGCTCAATTCTACGGGCTGAATGTCTGCTGGATTGATTTTCCCAGACGCCTGGCCGCAAAACGGGTCCTTTGGCTTCCCTTCCATCCACAGGTGCCACACTACCACTCCTATTAGCCAACTAGCCAGATGATGCGCGCTGATCAGACCGGGGCGAGTCCAGGCTACCTCGGCCAACCTTTTCCAGCGTTCGGGCTCGGTTAAAAGACGGAGGGCAGCGCTTTGCGCCCCCCGCGACCAGCTTTGGCTCCGCTTCTCTGGGAGCGGCTGAAACGTCTCTCCCCGAGGAAGGCAGCGTGTCGCGCGCCGCCGCCAGGGGGCGCCGCATTCCCGCCGCGGCCCGCCTGGCTTGCAGCGCCAAGGAGGCGCTCCGGGAGCGGGACGCGAATGTGCAAGAGCGCCGCCGCCGCCGCGAATCCCCACTCTGGGCAAAAAGGCGGGGAGGGGGGCCGCCTTTCTCTCCCCATGCAAAGCCGCGCCATTGGGCCGCTCGGTCCGGCGGCGCTGGGGGGGGGGCGGGAGGGTCGGAAGGACGGATGAAGGCGAGGCGAGCCCCAGGGAGGGCGGGCCACGTTAGCAAAAGCGCCTCCCGCCCGTGGGTCCCTTCGAGGCCGAAGCGCCCCAGTCCCGCCCCTCCTGGAAAGGCAGAGGGTCGGGGTTCCTCGCAAAAGGGCGGAAATCAGGCGGGGCGGGGGCACGGAGCGCGTCCATGACCCGGCTGCGCAGCCCCCTCCCCGCCCGGCTCTGCCCGCGCCGCCGCCCCCGCCCCTCGCCCGGGAATGCGCGCAATGCAGCGCCGGGATCCAGCGCGCCGGTCCTCCTTTGTTCCCCGTCGGGATGGAGGAGACCGCCGAGGGAGGGGGATGCGCTCCGTCTGCCGGGCTCGGCGTCGAACAAAGGCGCGCCACGCCGCGTCCCCGGCGGGACGGTGGGAAGAGGCAGCCGAGCGGCCGCGGGGGAGATCCGGCGGGCTTCAAGCGAGCGCGGCGACCGTCCCGAGAGGCTGCCGCGCCCAAGCCGGGCGGGGCAGCCCCGGCGGCAGCGCGGGGAACAATGGCAGTTGGCCGGCTGCGCGCCCCAGACCCACCTGGCCGTTGGACTTGGAGGGCGAGGCGTCGCCGGCGGCGTCCTGGGCCATCACGTCCCCCTTGGCGGCCTTGGAGCTGTGGCTGCCCATGGTGGCGCGGCTGCTGGCGAGAGGGGGGCGGAGGGGCGCGGGCGGCGATCAGGGCAGGGCAAGACGGAGAGGAGCCCCGGCCGCCTCGAGGGACGCTACGCGCTGAGGCCACCCCGGGAGGCGCCGCGCTCCGGGCGTCGCTGGCTCGGTCGGGTCCCTGGCTCAGCCGTTGCAGCCTCCGCGCAACTCCTCGCGCGCGCCTCGCTTGCACTGAGCCTGGTGCGCAAAAGCGGCGGCTAATAAGGCTGCCGCACGCGCGGGGGCGGAGCCGGGCGCCGGAGCCCCGCCCAGGGGAGGCGCCAAGGGGCGGGGGGCTTCTCGCTCTCGGCTCGCGCCCGGGCGGGGGGCGCTGCAGGGCGCGGCAGACCCCGCAGACCCTCGCCGGGCAGCCCTCGCGTGGCCTCTCGGGAAAGACGCGCCCTGCGCCAGTGCGCTTGAGCATGTGCAGAGTGCGCTTCTCTCTCTCTCTCTCTCCCGTTCTGGTGTAGCCCTTGGGAAAACAAGTCTGGTGTAGCCGGTCCAGAGCAGTCCCCGACCACGTGGGCGCTCCCGTGGGTTGACTTTGGAGAAGCGCCCCTCTGCCCCTCTTAAGATTGCGCTCCCCCTTCGTTGGGGATGCGGAAACCCCTGTGGGCACCTGCTCTGCCCCCTCGAGGTTGGCCCTACTGTAAGGATGACGATAAGGTTTGCTTAACGTGGTTTAGTAAATGAAACATGATCCGCCTGGGTTGACGCAACAGTTCGAAATGTAAATTATTGGCAAGCCACGATGGTTGACTTTGCATAGCGTCCCGAATGGAACACGTGCAGACCGTAGGATGGCTTAGCGAGATGTTTGCATCTTACTTAAGGGCCCAAAATTGCCTTTTTTCAATGCGTGTTTTTTTGCTTCTTTGCCTTTCCTGACTTAAATTTGGTGGTTCTGCATTCAGGTTAAGGAAGTGAGCGTTGAGTTGCTGTTGGGACTTTATTTTTAGAATTGCACAAAATGCCAATTTGGTAGCACAGAAGGTGGGATATGAACTTGTACTGGCTGATTGTAATTAGTATACTTCCATCGAGCGTGCAAAATGTACGGCTTTGGGGATCAGATCATCTCTTGAAGAGCTGCTTTCAAAATAAGTGGATGAGATTAGATCTTTCATGGTTATTTGCCACCACAATAACAGTGGACTGAACAAGCTGGAAGAAGTTAAGTTTAGGGTAGTGGATGTAGTTAGGCATAATATGTGTGTTGTGTGTTGTGTTTTTCTTGATGTGCTCTTGTTAGATAATCACATCCCATCCACACACATACAGTGCTATCTTGGTACTCAACTGCCTTGAAACTCATCAGATTTGGTACTGAACACATTTTGACCTGAAAATTTTGTTCCGGTACTCATTGTTTGTTTGGTATTCATTGCACCTCCCGGAACCATTTAACAAAAGTATCACTTTTTTTCCTGACTCCCACCCTGTGGATGCCCCTTAACCATTGCAAAAAAACGGCAACGTATTAAAAATTTAAATATTTAAAGGATGCATTTTTTTTAAAAAAAATAAACATTTAAAAACTGCATTTAAACCTGTTGTTGATAACAATTTGATTGTTTCTGGCTGCAAGAGAAGAAGTCTTTTTTTACCTTGAAAAAGCCAGCGAGAAGATTTAAGTGGGTGTAGCTTTCAAGTGTTAATTAAGGGAACTTCCTACAGCAGAGGCAGTATATCCCTAAATCTTCAAAACCTCCTCTCCCCCCCCCATTTGTGAGTTTCCTGGGTGCATATGGCCGGTTGTGCTTGGAAGTGAGAATGTTTGCTTTCTGATCCAGCTACTCCTGGGGCCTTTATACAATATTTACTCTCAGGTCGTAAAATACTGTACTGCTTTCACTTTGAGTTGTTTTCAATTTCGTAAGAATTTACTTCTCTGCACACAATACATGAAGCCTCTGGGCAGGAATGGCCTGTTTTATTTTTGACCCTGGGGGGGGGTATGAAATGGGGTGGGGGTTTAAGGAAGGGTTTAGAACTTGGTGAAGGTGAGAGAACACGACCTCACTGTGATATAGTTGATTAGATTACCAGTGGAAACTGATTAACTTCCACCCCAAGGACAGGCTTGCAACACTAGACCCCTTTTCTTTGCAGAGGGGCAGATTAGGGCACCGGAGAGCCATGGAGAGAGCTGGCCATTTGTGGGCCTGACCCCTTTCTCTCTCCTGCTGGGGGGGGGCTAGGTTGCCAAGGCAGAGAGCTGCGTTACCAGATCAAGGCCAGCTCCCAGAACTCAAGCAGTAGACGGCTGCTTATTGTTCTCCCTCAGGTTGCAAGGCTGTGTTGTGTCTTGGGCTGGAAGAGAACTGTCTGGGTCAGTGTTTCTTAACCTTGGCAATTTTAAGGCATGTGGACTTCAACTCCCAGAATTCCACAGCCAGCATTGCTGGCTGTGGAATTCTGGGAGTTGAAGTCCACATGCCTTAAAATTGTCAAGGTTGAGAAACACTGGTGGGTGAATTGAATTATTTTCGGTTCCTTTCCACCGGAGCCTTTGGGGGTCCAACAGAAGAGGCAGCGCTGGCTTTCGAGAGGTGAAAGATGCTGGGGTTGAGTAGGTTTCACAAGCTTTCTCCCTTCCTCCCAAAAAAATTATCAACAAGTGAAACATCTAGATTCAATATTCCTATTTAGAATGACATTTCTGCGGAAGGGGGGATTTTGAGAAGCATTATATGTGTGGCTAAAATGGGAGATCAGGTTTCAATACATTTATTCTTGTCAGGCCTTACAAAGCTGTTTGCATTTTTTTCCCCCAAAATAATTTCCCATATTTAGTTTGCCAGTAATCAGCAGCCGAACACAAAAAGCAAATTGACAAGAGGATTGTTGGACAATTTTGCCCAGTTTCTTTAAAGCCATTTAATCCCCAAAGAAGGGCAAATTAGGCATTGCAAGAGTACCCACAAAATCCAGACAACTGTGTGCATTTAGGGAATTGGCGGTGCAAACTTTGGATCAGCTTTAGGATCAGTCCTTGAGGCAGTGTAATTCAACCTTGGCTACCTTACGATGTGTGGACTTCAACTCCCAGAACCCCCCCCCCAGCCAATATTAAAAACTCTTAATCCCGAAACAGGCTAATAATGATCATTTCTGCAGAGTAGGACGCAAAATGCCTCTGTGTTTGACTGACGCAAGAGGAATCAAGATTTGAGCCATGTTTTTCAACCTCGTTAAGTTTTAAGGTGTGTGGACATCAACTCCCAGAATTCCCCAGCCAGCATGATTGCTGGAGAATTCTGCATACTGGCTGAGGAATTCTGGGAACTGAAGTGCACCCATTTTCAAGTTGCCAAGGTTGAGAAACACTGTTGTAGACCCCTCGGAGAGCTGCGCTCATCCCTGGTAGTTAAACATCTGGTGCCTCTGGCTTCCTGCTTTCTGCTACTCTCTAAATAACTGGTGGTATTTTCAGTCCAAAAGTGGTGGTGGGGGGGGAGCACCAACTTTGAGTAGTTGGTAGAAGTAGAAGCTAAAGCCGCAAGCCTCCGTGCCCTGCCTTGTTGATTTATCGATTGAGCCTAAGCGACTCCCCCAACGCCTGGCATTTTGACTACGTTGCCAGAAAGGAATGGGAGCTGGCAAACAAATAAAAGAGACTTTCCGTGTCATTTTAAAAATAGCAACAGAATTAGCTAATTAACAGGGAGCAAATTCCAGCCCATTGAAGCTGCAGGTCTCCCAAGAGGAGGGCTGGGTAGGGGGCAAGGAAACAAAGTCCAGCAAGGCTGGAGATGGAGAAACACAAGGGCTCCTCCCAATTGTTCTCTCTGTCTTGGCCCACCCCCAAATCTGGTTTGATTTTTGGATTAAAAGCTGGGGGGGGGGGCGCAAGACGCAGAGGCCTCTCCTTAGCTAATGATCTTTTGCGGAGTCCTTCCTGCTGAGTGTGAGAAGTACAATTTATTTTGCCCTTCATCACGATAAAACCATTCCACCTGGTTTTTTTTTTTTTTTTTTAATGAGCTGGTTCCAATCCTTATCATCTTTAGGCTGGCATTGTGGAGTAAAGAGGCACTGTTGAATTCTGAATTCTCTTTGGGATGAGATATTGCCAGCTCCAGTTGCCAGCTTCTCATGTTCAAGGACTGGGGTGGTCTGCAAGGGGTGGCCAGAAGGAATTAAAATGGGGATCAAAAAACAAGTAGAGCTTCAGTTTCACCATCACGGCTGCCATCTTGACTTTTTTGCCTCTCCCCTGTGGCTGCTCCTGTTTAGAACTATACTGGAGGTAGCATGGAGAGATATTTTGAGGAGCCTTCATCACGATTTCTTGTTCCTAAAATTCCTTTCTCTTTTCTTCCTGTTTCCTAGTTTTGGCTGTCTTCGCATGAGGCTTCTCACCCAGCTACTGAATTAGCCAATTGCTGGCATTCACACAATATACCGAGCAAGCTAATTCAGGGATGTCCAACCTTGGCAACTTTAAGACCGCTAGACTTCAACTCCCAGAATTTCTCAATCAGCTGTGTCAGAACTGAAGAAGCTTCTTGGATGAGAAACGAAATGTGAAGGAAAAAACCCAAGAAAGTTGCCTTTTGGGAAAGTATCTTTGGAACTCTCAAGGTTATTAACAAAACACAAGTTTTAAGGAATTTCTGGAATAAGGGTGAGGGTTCGTTCTCTGAGCTTGTGGTTTGATTTCTGAACATTTGGTTACCAGGCTAGGTTAACATCTTCAGTGGAGTTTCCCCTAAACGCTGAAGCTGTTATCTAGCCTGGTAACAAAACATTTGGCAGCCAACTCACAAGCTGGGAGAACAAACATTCACCCTCATCCTACACCTGAGCTACAGATATTCGCCGCTATTGCAAATTTATATAATAATAATAACAACAACAACAACAACAATAACAAATCCACTGACAATTCAAATTGCCAACTTTGCAATGACAAAGTTGAAACTGTTTCACATCTAATCTGTGAGTGCAGCAAAATCGCACAAACTGACTACAAAGCTAGACATGACCGAGTTGCTACATTAATCCATTGGGCACTGTGTAAAAAATACGACTTGCCTGTGTCCGAAAAGTCGTTGGAACATAGGGTGGAAAAAGTTGTTGAGAATGAGAGGGTGAAGATCCTGTGGGACTTTCGAATACAGACAGATCGCCATTTGGAACACAACACGCCAGATATTGCAGTTGTAGAGAACCGAAGCGTACAGCTGATTGATATCGCTGTAC